TCGCTGCTCAACTGGGTTGCCTCTTCGCTGCTCAACTGGGTTGCCTCTTCGCTGCTCAACTGGGTTGCCTCTTCGCCGCTCAACTGGGCTGCCTCTTCGCCGCTCAACTGGGCTGCCTCTTCGCCGCTCAACTGGTCTTCCTCTTCGACGCCTAACTCGCTGAATTGCTCCTTAATCTCCTGCAGGTCCCCATTCGCGGGCCGTTCCTTCTCGTCGTAAAAATTTTCATACCTGTGGAACAGCAAATCTTTCACTCTCTCAATTTGGACGTCCTTCACATTAAACCAGTAGCTCTTTCCGAATTTGTTTAGGATGTTCTTGGGATACTTGGCTGACTCGTCTCTGTTGATTACTACCAGGAGTTCGTACTCATCTTTGTCTGTCTTCTTAATGTCGAGGATGACCCCCCTGCAGTGTTTGAAGGCCCCTGTCGTGACGGTTACGTGTCCCCCGACCAGCGTCCCGATGTCCCTGATGGTAAAGGCGCGTGGCGGGCACTTTTCATCTCGATGTGCGTCGGCCTGCTCATCTCGACGTTGATCTGTCTGCTCATCGCTATGTTTGTCACTATTCGCACCATTTTGCGCTTCAAGTCGGCCATCCATGCGCATACCCCCTCGTGCACGGTTTAACTTGCCGCCGCGCCTTAGTCGACCCTTCCGCGGGCCATTCCACTGGCCATTCCAACTTCCCACTGACCCCCCACTGCTGCAGAGAAAGGAAAGCCTCCCCTTGTGAGCAGCTAATTCACTCCCATGGTGAGCGTGCAATGGCGAGATGCAGTTCGGATGGTTCGTGCCTTTGGTCCACTTCTTTGCAAAGAACGAGTTACCTATCAGTGTGAGAAATAAAGCTAAGGCGGACCTTTTAAGGGAAGAAATAGTCATGTCACACGGGAGAGGGATGCGTGGAGCTGTTCCTCGCTGGATCGGCTGTCAGATCTCGTACGAGCGGGTGCGGTGTGCTGCACGTAGAGGTACTCGTTTTGCTTTGCATCATTGTGGCTGGCCTCCTTTGGATTGCATCGCGTTGCGCTCTCCTGTGTTATATTATGTTACATTATATTATATTGTATTATATTATACGATATTATATTGTATTATATTGTGTTATATTGTATTTTTTTTTTTTTCTTTTTTTTCTTCCACTTGAACCCGTTTCATTGGGGGCATTCTTTATTTCCCCCGAGTTGGGGGGGGCACCTGATCACGAGCCCTGCGTACCGCGGCTCTCCTGTGTACGCGTGCGCCATTTGTTCGCCCCCCTTTTCTGGAAATCGGTTTTCCCTCTGTTGGGTACGACGTCGTGAATGACCTAAGTTGGAAGAGAAATTCAAAAAGGAGGGTCCAGCGGGAGCGAAGTGGAACGTAAGGAACTGGCGGGAAGGGATCCCAAGTTAAGAGACATGAAACAACTGCACACCCCCCGCACGGGCCACTGCAACGGTGAACAGTGGGCAGCCACCGGCAGGGTCACACGCAAACATGGGCTGGGTCAAATGCAAACGGGGGAGCATATGCACACACCTATGATAAATAGGTACACATTTAGCCGCCCCAGCTGGCGGCGCACAAGTGGTAGGTCCCCTCCCCACCGCTCCACCATCACTGAACACGGACACGCAAAATACTGAGGTAGGAATAAAACAAATCGTTCGACGTGTCGACAATTTTCTCAATCTCTGAAATGCGATCCCTGGACTTAACAAATAAGTGTTTCTTTTTTTCCTCGATGAGGGAGCTGCCTGCTTTGTTGTAGCTGCTGGAGATGAAGTCCTCCAGATTGTTCAGAATGTTTGAGCGACTGCCTTTGTATGCGTAGTACTCGTTTATTTCATCTTCGCTGCGGGGTGGCAGGGGACGGGCGGCAGACACGCATGGTGAGGACGCACCGCAGGGGTGGGAAACCATACGAGCAACCGGCTAAGCAACCATAGGGGTGTCCTCCGCAGCACCCGCTTAACCCTTGCCAGGCGCACTGCCTACCTGAGGCTGACGGAGGGATGCTCGTTATTCTTCACCTCGGCGAAGAAGTTAATAATTCTGGAGTTAAAATTTTCCTCCAATTCTTCCAATTTACGGAAATAATCCGAAATATGATCATTTATAAGCTTTATCATTTTAGAAACCTCCTTTTTGAAGCATTCGAGAAAATTATTAATTGAAACCATGTTGGCTAGTTCGTCGTTTATTAACTTGTCTCTAAAGAGGAAATTCTCCTGCATGTTTTTTTCTATATACTTTTTTATAATGTTGTATTTTTTTCCCTCAAGGAGGAGGATGTTGCTTTCATTTGGCTCCTTCTCCTCGGGGTTTTCACAAGGGGGTTCGGAGGTTCCCACGACGTGGGTGTGATCCTCTTGGGGGAGCTCCTCATCATTGTTTCGCTTGAAACGAAAATCTGCGCAGACATTTTGAACTTTTCTCGTAATTGTATCGTTAAGCATTTTGTGGTCACTTGCTTGGGTCCTTTTTTTATAAATGTCTGGGCATTTCCTCAGCTCCACGGGGGGAGGTTCTGCCGTGCGGGAAGCGGGAGCGTCGCTCGAAGGAGAGTCAGCGTGTGTTCCTGTGTAGTTTACACATGCATATGCATACTCTCACTGATGTGGACGTCCTTACTCATGTGGACGTCCTTACTCATGTGGACATCCTCACTCATGTGGACATTCTCACTCATGCCCACATCCTAACTCATCTGCTTCGGCGCGCGGCAGGACGTACCCTTTTCGCAACCCAGGAAGGCGAGGAGGGCACGCACCACTCGCTTGGACCTCTTCCGCAGCTGGTTGAACGCCGCAATGTTATTCTTCATGTACTGCGAGGTGAAGCTCTCCACGTCGCTTTCGAAAGTGCGAGAGCATTCGCTGCGTTGTTCGTTCAACTGGAGGATTTGGTCTCTGCGGTAGATGGGCGGTAAAGGGACGGTAAAGGGGTGATTAAGGGGCGGTAAAGTGGCGGTGTCGTTGTATATACCGCTTCTCCCATGTGGCACATATGTATAGCTTACTGCGCTTAGACTTACATGAGGGTGGAACTCATCAGGCGGACGTCGCGCAGAAAGTCCTCCTTAACCTTGGAGTAGTAATCAATTTTGAGGAAAACAGAAGGCTCCTTTTTTATGTCAAAGAGGGCCTGATCCAGCGTGGTTATATTGGACAAGTACGCTTCGCCGATTTTCTTTTCGTAATTGTCGCAATGGTTGGAGTCGATCTTCTCCTGGGGGGGCCTTTCTACAGGGGGATCCCCACCTTGGTACCCCTTGGACAAATCAGAAGGAAACCCTCGTCTTCTACAGCTACTCTCCCCCGTCAACAGCACGTTGTTAAAACATTTCAGAGTGGACAAAGTAGAACCCACTTGGATAAAGAGGTTCTGCTCCAGGCATATCGGATTATCCATTAAGTTAAGAAATTTTAATTTTCTTAAAACCCTCAGGTAAGTTACATTCTCCATATGTTTTATTCTATTTTTACTTAGAATTAGGATTTTTAATTCTACGTTATTGTCTAAGTTTTCTATTTTTTCGATTAGGTTATTGTGGAGGTTTATTTCTGACAGCTTTTCTAACTGACTGAGGTTTTTTATTTTTTTTATTTTGTTGTTGGATAGGCTTAAGATTTTCAGATTGGAGAGTCCTTCCAGGTTTTCGATTTCCTCGATGAGATTGTTGTCCAGGCGCAGTTCCTCCAGGCCTGCACAGGTGTGGGGGGAAGAGAGAATCAACGCCGAAGCGCTTGGTCAGTAGGGGTCATCAGAGGGGCACTCAGCAGTGGGCCACTCAGTAGTGAGACACTTTCGAAGCGAAGCTCCGAGGCCCATCTTAGAAACTCTCCGCGCATACTCCTAAAAAGGTCGATGTTCTGTATGAGGAGGATCTTCCTGTTTTCGAGGGACAACACCTTGGCGTGGTTAAACTCCTCAGTGAGGTTCTTTCCCCCAGGGGTCCCCCCACTTTTGCTTATTTCTTCGATTAGCATTTTCTCATTTATTACATTTGTGCCTATCCGCCTATAATCCCACTGTGGGATTATATCTTCGAAAAGGGCGTCGTCCTCATGTTGCCTCTTTTCATCATCATGGGGGTTATTAATGTTTGTCTTTTCCACCTCGTCGTCCTGTTCGTTTCCTCCCATTTTGTTTGCACGGAGTGAGCTACAAGTTTGGTTTTACTCCTTTGCAAATTAGTAGAGATGTAGTGATATGGGTTTTCTCTCTTTTTTTTTTTTTTTTTCTTTTTTTTTTTTTAATTATCCCCATCAGAAAGTGGATTCTTAAAAAAAAATGGACGGGTGAACAGTTGGGAAATTCGCTCTTTTTCTTTCCCCGCACCCGCGTGGACTTTTTTTTTTTTTTTTACTGCGTAATGCCGTTTGGAGAGAGAAAAAAAAGTACACGTGAGTGCGGGGAATTTTCACAGAAAGGTGTGCCAAGACAACGCGGATTGGAAGGAGAAAGGAGGAGTAGCAGCAGGGGCAGAAGCAGGAGCAGAAGCAGGGAGAAGGAGGATGGGGAAAAGTGCAGGGGTGAAAAAAAACAATCCCTCGCGAATGCCTAATGTGAAGAGGTTTACCCCTTTGAAGCGCGCCCCGCATTTTGCGGCGTCTAGATAGGCATAAGCGCAAGTTGCAATTTCGCTTGGTCTCGGCAATAGAGTGGGGGTAATTTCACGGGGGCAATTTAGTGGCCACCGCTCTTCCTGCCGCGAGTTGCGCCTCTTCACCCAGGCATGTCCGAGTAAAGGCATATGATTTCTCCCATTACGCGTATATCGGTAGAAAGACGGAAGGAAGATAACCTCGAGGGAAAAAATCCGTGGTCTACATTTTCGATTCCACCGCTTAACCATTTTGGAGGCCCTGTTAAAATGTACACCTCCCACTTAGGATCTCATCGTACCAATAGGGGGTAGCAAAAACGAGAGATGTGTGTCAATAAAGGGAAAGATGCTCCCATGGTGGAGGTGGCTTTGTCCAAATGGCCCCTATGCGAATTGGTTCGGGGGGTACGTACGCATCCGTGTGTTCTTCTCCCGCGGGGCAGCAGCAGCAGCCGATTTGGTGACCCACTTCGCGAAGAGGCCCAAAATGGGGAAAGTAAAGTTAAGAGGAATTCAATTGGGCTTCATCTGCGTCTCTACCATTATGGTTACCTTTGTGGTTACTTTTGTCTTTACCTTTGTTTTTACCTTTGTTTTTACCTCCATCTTTATGTTTCTTTTATTTTATTTTACCTATTCCTTCTTACTTATTTTTTTTTTTTTATCCCCCCAGCGCGCATGCAGCAAGTCAAATTCGCATGCAGAAAAAAGAATAACTGCAGACGCATCCTATGTTCTACTAAACGGAAAATAATACGTTACAATGTTTTGTTGAAATGATGAGAGATTTGACATGTTGGGATTTCCTTTTTCATTTTTCTCATTAATGAAGTCCCTGTTGCGCAATGGTTTAGCTGGAGATGACAACCCCCGGGGGCTGGGCGTGCGCCGTATATACAGCGGGCGCCCTGGTGGTTCGTTGCTCGTCTGGCGAGCATGCATAAGGTGGAGGGGGGATTCCTTTGGCAGTTGGCACATTCACGGGGCCTTAAAAATGGGGTTACAATTGCGTTAGCCCATACACATGCGTAAATAAAGACATGCCCAAAAGGAGACAGGTTTTTACTTACCGTCATTCAGTGACCCATTGACACTTGAGAGAGTCTGTTGTGGCGCTCGAACAAACTGACGAAACAGACGCGGGGCGCGCAGCTCTGCTCATTCGTCTGGAAAACCTCGTCACATTCACACCTGTTTCGTATACGCATATGCGTGTAAAGTGTGTGTTGTATTAACGCAGTTGTGTGTATGTGTCAGCATGAGCACCTGGACGGCTCTTTTGTCCTTCTTCCTCTTTGTGGACACAAAGATGAGACTGCTTTCTGTCCTGCCCCTTCTGCTGCTGCCACACTTGTGCAAACCATTCAACTGGAAGAATCTCCAAAATGTGCACGTAACAGTCAGGGAGTGTACCCTCTCCTTGATTGCTCTGATGGAGGAAGCGGAAAGCATTCGATTGGGTGAAAGGAACGACGAGAGGATGGCCCAAATTGTAGAAAACATGAAGAAGGCGAAGCAGATGTTACATGAAATGTACTTCTCCATTCGTCACTTGTTCTCCTCATTAGGGTTAACGTTTAGAAAGGAGCTATATCTCTTTGGAGTAGCGGAGGGAAACGTGTATGGAGAGGAGGCCGGACAAGGGGAAGAAAAACAGGAGGACAGCACAAATGGGAAGCGTTTCACCGATGAGGAGCACCTACGAGGTGTAAAAACACAGAGGGACCTGAAGGCCCTCCTTGGGGAAATGATTAATTACTACAAAAAAGAGTTCATTCAGAGTAAACCATCGACAAGTTGCTCCTACATCAATCAGAAGAATTCCCTCCGAAAGCAAATTGAAATTGTTAGAGCCACCCACAGCTACATAGCGACAAAACTGTATTATCGAGATTATTCGAAATATTTCCAACGTTTTCTCGGAAGCCAAAGGGACATGGTTAACGTCCTCTTTAATCCTGCTTTGGACATGAAGGAGGATGTTTATTCGGGTTTTTACGCCAACTACGGTGGGTTAATAGTGGATGAGCGGAAAAGCGGGGCAATGACTGGGCCGGAAGATGACCCGAAGGATCAGCGGAAAGATGGACCAAAGGGCAAGCCGCCAGACGGATCAACAGATGAGAGGCAAGATGGACAAAAGGGAAAGCCGCCAGACGGACCAAGGGTTAAACTACCAAGCTGCAGTGACGACTATAAAATCATTTCTGGAGAAAAATGCACCAAGAAGTTTGCACAGAGTGTAAAAAAGATGTTACATAATTTTGAGGCGTCACTGGAAGGGTACATTCACAGCTCCGTGGTGGAAATGAGAAAACAAATGATACAGGTGGAGGAGCAGCAGGAGGGGGAAAACTACTGCAGAGATTTGGCGAAAGAACTCAAGGAAAAGAGTTACGATAAAATACCGCTGGAAAAAATTGATCGATTTGAAGAAATGGCAAAAAATTACCTACACAAGGATCTGGACATGTTAGTGGAAAGGGAGAAGAAAAAACTGTATCGAAGGAGAAACTTCTTCGAGAAGTATTTTTTTTTCATTATCGAGACAATGCTGCAGGTTCGGCGCAGCGTGGAGGCGTCGTTGGAGGCGCTTTCGAGGGGGCTGGGGGGGGTTACAACTAAACCCGTCGCCGCAACAGGGAAACCGCCAACCCAAACAAATAAACCGCCAACCGAGACAGATAAAGCAGCCACCTCGACAGGCAAACCGCTAACCGGGGGGGCGGAAATCAAGCGCATCTTTCAACTGCTCGATGAGTACATAAGCATATACTCCTTTGTGTATGAGCAGCTAAAGGAGTACCACCTAAACGTGAGGGACATTTTCTCACTAGATTATATTCGAGAAAACTCCAAAGACAACAGAGACTACATAGCTGAAAGAATTGCACATCAGATGGATGGACTAAACGGTTCCTTCTTGAAGTACAAGAATGTGAAAAATAGATACGAGCAGTGGGTGGAGAAGGGCATACGGACGAGGAACTCGATGAGCACCTTTATAAAAGGAGAGTCAGTCGAAGCAGGAGGAAGCACGGAGAAGTCAGTCGAAGGAGCTGGCATCACGGAGAAGTCAGACGAAGGAGGAGACAGCGTTCATGGACAGGGACACTTCTCTTCACGCAACTTGAGGAAAAAGGACTTGCCAGAATTGTGGGCATCCACTTGGCGCAGAAGCAGCCAATCCTTTTTGAGCAAAGAAGACAAAGTGAAGAAAGACAAACTAAACGGGGAGCTAATCGAACGAGAGGACGAATATTTAAAAAGGCTGGAAAATGTTGTGACGCTTCTAACTAGATACAAAAAATTGAAAAACAAGAAAATCAAAATAAAGCACATTGCAGATATAGGCAAAGTGGAGATGCACCCCATTTTATTTAATATCAAATTGAGGAAAGATCAAATGGTAGGATTCTACAAAAGCATTCTTCTTTTTGCAAAAATATTTCTTCTAAAAAGGATTGTACTTACTCTAAAAATGAAGATAACCTTTTTGAGTAGAGTTACTCCATCGGCCTTTCTCCTGAGCAATCGTTTTTTGCTTCTCCTCTATGATATCCAACTGGAGCATCTGCGAAGTAGCTACCAGATTGGAGTGAACAAAGACTTCTGTCACAATTTGACTCTTCAAAATTTAGACGGCGTGATGAAACAGGGGGATATTTCTCACCTTCTCCTTAAGTACGTGATGTACATGTTTGGCCTCAATTCCGCGTTTATGAGTGCGCACCTTGGGGTAGACATTGGCCCCGGCGTGGGTAGCGACCACATTGGGGGGAATAACGCCTCGGAAGACGATGGAGACTTTGATGAGGATGACCCCCGTTGGAGCGCACATAACCTGAGAGTGGTGTACGAGCTGGCCAGAAAATTCAGCAGTAGGCCGCTCGTCGACGCAGCAGATTTTTTTCCATCGAGCAGGGCATCATCTCCAAAGGGGGAGAGCAGCACACACGATGAGAAAGTAAAAATCGCCTTCAGACAAATTCACTCGTACTTTTCCAGCATATTCAACAATGATGAAATTTCAGGGCACATTTTAAAAAAGTTCGAAATATGGGAGGAGCTGCGCTCCTCTGGTTGTTATGATGGGCCCTCCTGCTCCATAGACAGTCCCGTATACACCAAGGATGTGATAAGGAAGTCGATTTTTTACAACCTAAACGATATGTCACATCAATTCGGCATGGCAGATAAATTCGACGTGGAAGATAAATTCGACATGGCAGATCAATTCAACATGGCAGATCAATTCCACATGGCAGATCAATTCCACATGATAAACGAAGCGACTGTATCTTCTGTTAGCTCCTGCGCGTCTTCCCTATACTCTTACGCCTCTTCTTCCCCCTCGAAATTTCCATCCCATCTGCTAAACAATGCACTCATCAGGGGCTCGCTCTCCGAGGCGTACAAATACATGCTATACAAAACGCAGCAGAGCCAAGTTTTCAAATTGTACTCCAGATCCAAGGGCAGGAATATGACCTTCCTGGAGACTGTTTTTCTTCAGCTCATTTTGAATTTTGGGATGACTCCTTACAACAAGTTGAAGGGCACCATGGTGAACTCCTTTTGCAGGAAGGAGGGAAGGCTAGAGAAGGATGATATTTCTTCCAGTAAGGCTCAGGCGGGGCCACTCCCATACAGGGGAAGGAAATGGAACCGCGACATGATTCCACGTATCCGTTATATGCCAAAGGGAGAGCAGCTACAGGCGGGATTAGCCATTTCCTGCTCTGAGATGAAGCAATACGAGGAACATGATTCATATAACAAGACGCGTACTAAATGGGGGGACAGTAAAAGGGGAAGCAGTTATTCCTCTTCGTATGACAATGCCCCAAGTCACCGGATGCACCACCTAGTAGGCACCTGCGACTTGCTAAATGGAGACAAGAAAAAAATTACATCCTTTGAAGTGAAACACATAGAATACATTCCTAACGGAACACCATTCTTGACACCAGTGACAGAAAAGCAAAACATCATGTCAGACTACGAACTGTATGGCCTTTTCTTTCAAGGCGTGAGAGGGGAGGATAACAGGTACTCCCCTGATAAGAACAACTTCCCTGATAAGAACAACTCCCCTGAAAAGAACAACCCCCCTGAGAGGAACAACCCCCCTGAGGAGAATTCCACTGGGGTGAACTCAAAGCAAGACATCTACTGCAACGGAAAAAAAACTGGCCGTTTCGCCATTGGGCAGTCCGTGGTTTACCTTGGCGAAAGGGTGCCTGTAAAGGAGCCACTTATCGGACCCATGCTGTCCAAAAGTGCAGCTAGCCAAAAAGAAATCCTCTTCGAAAGAGAATCCATGGAGTGGTACAACATGGTTCTAAGTTGGCTATACAAGTACCAGGAGAAAAAAAATTGGAACCGCGAAAAGGTGAGAAAAATAGAAAGGGATATTTCTGGTCTGAGGTGGAGGGCCAAATTATACGAAGAAAATATTTCCTACGTGAAGAACAAGATGGCACAGATGATGGGTCTACCTCGGGGGGGGACCGATCGCCCAAGTGACCTGCAAAAGGAGTATCAAAGGGAAGTTTCAAATGCCGCTTGGGAGAAGTACAACTCGTTAATGGACATTTATAAAGACATCGTGGAGATGCTCCGAGAAAGGGAAAAGAGTCTAACCAAATTGAAGAAGGAAAACGAAAGGGAAGGCGAAAAAGAAGAAGCAGAAGAACAACCCGGCGTGGGTTACTACGGGGTAAGCAAGTACGCCTTTCTGAGAAAATATCAGGTGGAGGATCTGAATATGTATACCATGTATCATGAGAAAATTATGAAATACTTCCAGAAGCAAAACAGATGCTGTGATGCGTATATAAAGGAAATGAAAATCCACCTTCAGTTTTTCCCTCAAGTTTGTTGTTCCAATGGAGGGGAAAGACACAAGGAGAAGATGCTCAAGTACATATATATCAGCATCACCGACCTGGTGACCGATTTTATACGATGTGAAAATAACACCAATAGATTGCTCACGGATCTTAAAAAAGTAAAAGACACCCTACAAACAATGAACACTGTTAATGCGAATCTACACAGAAAGCAGAGAACGTTCCACCTCAGTACCAAATATTTTTACAGGGAAAAAAAAGAGGGAAATATTTATTTCTTCACAGATAAAATGGAAAATATAAAGACTTACAAAATTTACAAACAACTTATAGACAGTGTAAATGAAGATCTCATGTTCGTCATCGACATCATGGTGAGAAAAATAGAAGAGCGGAAAGAGCTTCTACAACAAGTGGAAGAGAAGATGCCTACCCTGCTGGACATAAAACGGATTCTCAAAACAGACAGCGAGATTGCATACATTCATGTTGAAACGTTATGTACAAATTTCTCTCATGAAAATATGCTAAACTACGATAAGGTAAACAATTTGGGGAAAAACTTTAAAGAAAAAATCGCCATTTATAAAAATGTCCTGAATAACATCAGGTACTCCTTTGAGCACGAACCTCACGTGAGCAACGATAATATGGCACTGTTTTACAACTTTGTGCACTACGATCGTGAGGAGAATACTGACGCGATGCAGTTTGCGGATGCGCTGTTGGCATATAACGAAGAGAGGATTGAGATGCCCCATCGAGGGGAGGAGGAAAACAACACGGGAGGGAGGCCCCTTACCAAGTACCAGAAAATCTGGAGGAAGCTAAACGCGCCCAAGGGGGGCGATGGGGGGATCGCCAAGGAAAGACATGACGACACAGGTGATGATAGCGATAGGGACCTTTACGACGACTGGGACGATGAGGAGTGGGCCGAAGATAGCCTGAAGGCTGCAGCGGACCGTGTGGAAAAGAACTGCGGAAATAGGAAGTGCCCACCAAACTCCTTCTGCTTTATTCATGCGTTTAATGAAGAATGTTTTTGCCTCCTTAACTATAACATGGTGGGGGGGAAGTGTATTATAAATGAACAGAATTCTTGCGCGGTGAAAAACGGGGGGTGCGATTTGAAGGCAACCTGCGAGTTGAAAAAAAATAGGGTAAATTGCATTTGCCCCATGGACACTAAGCCCATGCATGAGGGGGTCGTGTGCAGCTCTTCTTTCACCTCTTTATTTTCGCAGGTGCTCCTTTTGTTCGCCATCCTGGCGTTTGTCATTGAGTAGAGTCCGTGTCTACTATATGTCTGTATGTACGTGTGCATATATGCACATGACAGTATAGGCCTCTTATAACTTACGGGGAGCCCCTTCGGCTTGCTACCCTGGGGCTTGCAAAGTCGTGGAGGGGGCACGTTATCCACTGTGCCTCCCCCTTAGACACACTTCCCGTGGTGATTCCCTCCATCCCTTCCTTATTGGCCAAATTTTTATTCTTCTTTCCAGAGTTCTGCAACAGAGTGGTCTCTTGCGTTTGATGCATGGTCCGTCGTGTGGCGCCGTTTTTTTTTTTTTTTTTCACTTCTGCGCATTTTTTAGTGGCAACTTTTTCCCCCCCATTTTGCGTCCTAACCTTTTAACGGCAAAAAAATTTACACACCGCATGTACATTTTTGGGCAAATAGTAACCCCCAGACACACAGGTGCGCACAAAACCAACCGACTACTTTTTCACATTCTCAGCGGCGGCTTCGTTCAAGGGTAACCACCCCCTTCGCGCTGTTCGAAAAATGCGCGTTTATTTGGAAAACATCGAAAACTGAGAAATCGTCCGAAATGGAGGAAAAGGGGTGGAGAAAGCAACACTGCACTAGGTAAGAGGTAGCAAAAGTGTCACCTCCATTTGGCGAAGCTAAAAAAAAATTTTTTTTTCTTTTTTTTCGCCTGTGTATGTACAACATAAAGGGGTAAAAAAGGAGTAACAGGGGGGAGAACATGCAAAACAGCTGAGGCATCCTCTGCATCTCCACCCCTTAGTAATATGTAGTCCCTCCATTCCGCGTTAAGTGTTTTTTTTTTTATTTTATTTTCCCACCGATATATGTAAACACTTCACAATTCTGGTAATTTCACCTGGGTATATTTTCATTTCATTTATCTGCTTCCCTGCCCCCTTTCCCCCTTCTTTTTTTGTAACGCATAAAATGTATACACGGAAAATTTACGCGCACGTCTTGTGTGTGTGTATATGTGTGTACCGGATTTGTACGTATATATTTAACAGGATAAGCGGAATGGAAAGGAACATTTCTCCGCGTTTTCCATTTTTTTTTTCTTTTTAAATTGTTCGTTATAGCTTCGCATGTCCTCTTTATACATTGCTGCGTCCTTGGGAACTCAAGAAGTGGGAAGAAAAAAAAAAAAAAAAAAAAAAAAAAAAAAAAGGTGCAAATGTGCGTTTGGAAAAGTGTGAAGATGCAGAAGGACACTTTGAAATGGCCGCCAGGTAGTTGCAATAGTTGCATATCTGCATAGCTGGATGGTTGTGCGTCTGCAGAATGGGAGAGCGCCCGACGCTCGCGGGGAAGCAGTTTCGGATAATTTGGGAACGTTGCGCCGCCCGCTCGCGGCCATGGTGTAATATCCCCTTCGACTGCGAGTGCACTAATGGGTTGAAAAAATAAAGAAGAGGAGAGCGAGGGGGAGGCACAGCCAAGGTGAGAAAAATGGAGAATAAATAAGTGACGAAGTTACGAATAAACAAGTGGCAAAGTGAGGAATAAACAAAGTAACAAAATGGGGAATAAACGCCAAACGAAGGAAGATGGCGCAATGGGGCAGGCGAACGGCGAAGCACACCATAGTGGTGTAATTTCCCCCTCCCTTAACTGGTTATGAAATGAAAAGGTTCAAGGGGGAGAAGAAGAAGTGCATTAAAAAAGCGAAACAAACGGGAACAGACGGGAAAAAACATTTGTGCATATTCAAGTGATGCATACAAAACGAACACACGTTCATGCGTGTACACAATTTTCGCGAAATTTGTGCGTACATTTTTTTGTGTTGTTCCGTTACACGTTAATTTTCAGGGCAATTTTTCTCCGTCCATTTGGAGTCTTTTTCTGATCATTAATTTTTTTTTTTAATTTCAAGCGTAAGTGTGTAACGCGCGCTCGGTTTGACTTTGTGTAATTTTTTCCCGTAAATTGTTAACTCTTTCTTCTTTCACTTAACTGTTTCATGTTACATGTTTCATGTTTCTGTTAATTGTTTACTTTTCAACTGCCTATTGTTCATTTTGTTTCATCAAGCGCTGCTTCGTTTCACTTTGTTTTTTTCTTTTCTTTCTTTTATTTCATTGTTTACACTTTGAAATGATGTTTATTTAATCACTAAAAAGAAGAAAAAAAAAAAAGATAAACAAGTGAACACTTTAAAGGGTACTTTTTTTTTTTTTTTTTTAGAACAAATTAAAGGAAATTTCCTTTTTTCTTTTTCCATGTGTTACAAATGAACATTTTTTTTTTTTTAATAGAACAATTGGGTGAAAGCAGATTGTATGTATAGTCACACACACGTACGTGAAGGCATATGTGTGAACGCACGTGTCCCCTTACATATACACGCACACCCGTGTGCAAGGCGTACTTGTGACGTACACCGCGTCCGGGTATTGCTTTCCTCTACCCATATGACGCAGCCGTCGTTTCAGTAGCCTGTGCATGTGTACATATATATATACACCCACGTGCACGTACCCGCATACACAGCAACACACACACCAGCATACACAGTAACACACACACAGCAACAGGCAAGTATATGAAAACACATTGGCCACTTTTAAGATGCAACAATAATGCTCATTTTTGGTAGGCCCATTTTCCGTACATTTTTAAACCCCACATATTTTGATTATTGAATTAAACGAATTCGAAAATGAAGACGCTACTCTTTTTGTTGTCTTTCATTTTTTTCGTTACCAAATGTCAATGTGAACCTGAAAATTATAGACAGCTTCTAGTCAAGCTGGACAAGTTAGAGGAGCTCGTGGTGGATGGCTACGAGCTGTTCCACAAAGAAAAGTTAAAAACAGAAAAGATTAACAAGGAAGATATTAATGATCCAAAGAGTGAGGTTAATATTTTAGCTTTCAAAATAAGAGATTTGGTCAACAAGTTTTTGCAGCTACAAATTCCTGGCCATGGTGACTTGCTACTCATGATAAGAGAATTGGTCTTGAATATCAATGGGCTAAAATATCTTGTGGAGAGCTACGAGGAATTCAACCAATTGATGCACGTGATAAACTTCCACTATGACTTGTTGAGGGCGAAACTCAACGACATGTGCGCCCACGAGTATTGCAAAATACCCGAGCATCTGAAAATCAATGAAAAGGAGCTGGACATGCTGAAGAAAGTTGTGCTCGGTTATAGGAAACCCCTGGATAACATAAAGGACGACATTGGGAAAATGGAAGCCTTCATCACGAAAAACAAGGAAACAATAAAAAAAATAAACGAGTTAATTACTGCGGAGAATAAGAAATTGAGCGGCCAGCGCACAGGCGCAATAGCCGATGGTACTCAAATTACTAGAGGCAGTTCTGCAAGTTCTCCTTCGACTGTCACTGTTTCGACTCCTACTGTTTCGGGTGACACTCATTCGACGACCACCGGTTCGACTACCGCCCCTGCGACTACCACCAGTTCTCCTGTCACTGTATCAGCTTCTGAAAATGGAAGTTACGAGAACGAGAAACCCATCTTCCAGGCCATGTACAACATCACATTTTACACGAACCAATTGGTTGAGGCGCAAAAGTTAATTGAAGTCCTGGAGAAGCGCGTGGGAGTGCTGAAGAAGCACAAAAGCATCAAGGCGCTACTCGACCAGATCGAACAAGAAAAGACAAATCTTCCAAATGGTAATCCCCCCGCTACACATCTTACACATGAACAAGAAGCAGCGAAAAAGAAAATTGCAGACCTCGAGGAGCAAATCGTAGCCATCGCCAAAACGGTGAACTTCGACCTCGACGGCCTATTCACCAACACAGAGGAATTGGAGTACTATTTGAGGGAGAAGGCAAAGGTGACCGACATGCTAATCATCCCCGAAAGCACCCAGGCAGCTAGCACCCAGGCAGCTAGCACCCAGGCAGGAAGCACTCCCACAAAGACAGTTCCAAGCATGAAAGAGAGCTACCCACACGGAATAACCTACGGTCTAGCAGAAAGCACCATTTTCGAACTGATAGAAAAAACTGGATCCGAGGAGACCTTTGGTGATTTGGAAAATCCGGATGATGGAAAGCTGCCACAGAAGGAAATCATCCTTAGTGAAGACAAGAGAAAAGAGTTGATGGACAAAATTATGAATAAAATTAAAATGGAAGAAGAGAAATTGGACAGCCTAAAAAAGAAATACGAAGACCAACTTAAGAAGTACGAGGAGAAGGTTAAGGACTTCCAACAAACACATAAGGAATTTTATGAAGCAAGACTGAACAACACCCTTGTTGGAGACAAATTTGCTAACTTTAAGACCAAAAGGGATGCATATATGACGGAGAAAATAGAACTAGAGAAATGCACATACCAACAGGAAGCCGCTCTGATTAAGAAGCTGAAAAAACAGCTTACCTATTTGGAGGACTACACCTTAAGGAAAGATATCGCCAACGATGAAATTAACTCCTTTAGCGCTATGGAGTGGAAACTAAAGAGCCGAATTTATGAGCTATCTAAGGAAGTTCGTAAAAATGAAAACAAACTGGTCCTGGAAAACAAGTTCGACTTTTCCGGGGTTGTGGAACTGCAAGTACAGAAAGTGTTGATAATAAAAAAAATCCAGGCTCTAAAAAATATCCAGAATCATCTTAAAAATGCCAAGGTGAAAGACGACCTTTACGTTCCAAAGGTGTACAAGACTGGCGAGAAACCCGAGCCCCACTACTTGATTGTCCTCAAAAAGGAGATTGACAAATTGAAGGACTTTATCCCGAAAATTGAGGCCATGATCACCACTGAGAAGGCCAACCTCGCCAAGGAAGCGGCAGCGACCCAGGGACAATCGCTTAGAGGAGAAAGTGAAACATCTCCAGCAGCTCCAGCAGCTCCAGCACCTTCAACATCTTTAGCATCTGACACAACAACACTTGCAACAACAACATCTAACACAGCAACATCTGCAACAACAACATCTAACACAGCAACATCTGCAACCACAACATCTGCCACAACAACATCTGACACAACAACATCTGACACAACAACATCTGACACAACAACATCTGACACAACAACATCTGACACAACAACATCTGCCACAACAACATCTGACACACCAACACCTGCAACAACAACATCTGACACACCAACACCTGCAACAACAACATCTGACACGCCAACACCTGCAACAACAACTGAAATATCAATACCCACAACAACACCTACACCAGCAGCTGCACCTGCACCTGCGGCACCATCCATGTCCAAAGTGGAATACCTCGAAAAACTCCTCAACTTCTTAAAATCCGCTTACGCATGCCACAAGCACATCTTCGTGACCAACTCCACCATGAAAAAGGAACTACTGGATCAGTACAAACTTACGACTGATGAGGAAAACAAAATTAAGCAGAGCAAATGCGATAAACTGGATCTTATATTCAATGTCCAGAACAACTTGCCAGCCATGTACTCTATATATGACACCATGAGGGACGACCTGCAGAACCTTTACATTGAGTTGTACGAGAAGGAAATGATTTATAACATATATAAGAACAAAGAGAAGGACACGAGACTTAAGGCTCTCCTGGAAACTACTAATCCAGTAACCACAGTAGGAACAGTAAGTCAAGGCAACTCTACCTCAGTTGTAACAAACACACAAACTACACCCCATGAAGAAGGAAGCAACACCGTAAAAGCTAACTGCGATGATAAACCTGAAGACCTCCTTATGCAAATGGAAATGATTTACGAAAAGCACATATCCGAAATGGACAAGTACAACGAAAATTTCAACAAGTTCCTGGAATCCAAAAAACAGAAAATCACCACAATGAAGGATGAAGAGTGGAAAGCATTAGGTACTGAAATTGAACAGCTGAAGAAAAAGATACAAGTATCTCTGGACCACTATGGAAAGTACAAACTCAAATTGGAAAGATTCCTGAAGAAGAAAAAGAAAGTTACTAATACCAAGGGACAAATTAAAGGACTGACGATTTTGAAAAACAAATTGGAAAGAAGAAAAAATCTTCTGAATATCCCAACAAGTGTATTAAAAAATTTCACCGTCTTCTTCAACAAGAAGAGAGAATCAGAAAAGAAGGAAGTGGAAAATACACTTAAGAACACCGATATTTTGTTGAACTATTATAAGGCACTAGCCAAATATTACATGAGTGAGCCCTTTCCATTGAAGACCATAAGTGAAGAGTCACTGCAGAAGGAGGACAACTACCTAAACTTAAAAAAGTTTAAAGTGCTGAGCAGAATGGAAGGAAGACTTGGAGATAACATCCAATTGGAGAAGGAAAACATAAGCTACCTTTCCAGTGGATTGCACCACGTCTTTACAGAACTGAAGGAAATTATCGACAACAAGAAATACTCCGGTAATGACCACAACAAGAACGCTGAAAAAGTTAAGGAGGCATTGAGGGCCTACCAAGAATTGATCCCCATGGTGGCCACTCAGGAAACCGCACGGGTACCAGTAGCACCAGCGGTAACAGAAGGACCAGCATCAGCGGTAACACCAGCAGTAGCACCAGTAGCACCAGAAGCACCAGAAGCAACAACAGCAGAAGAGGCAGCAGAAGAGGCAGCAGTCGAAGCAGCAGCTGGAGCACCAGCATCAGGAGAAGCCCCAGCAGTAACAGTACCATCAGCAACAGTACGGGCAGGAGCAACAACAACAACACAAGGGGCCGTAGGAGAAGCAGGAGCAACAACAACAACAATAACAACACAAGGAGGCGTAGGAGAAGCAGGAGCAACAACAACAACAACAACAACAATAACGACACAAGAAGACGCAGGATCAACAACAACGACAACAACAACAATAACAACAACAACAACACAAGGAGGCGCAGGATCAACAAGTGTAATTGCACAGGACTACGACGAGGACTATGACAAGTTTAGGTTCCACCCGTTCGTCTACAAAAATGACGACGAAGGCTATGACGAGGAGGAAGAAGAAAACAAGGAGGCAGACCAAGTAACAACGGGAGAGGACGAAAATCAGGAGACGCCTGAAGTCATCGTACCACCAGGAATAAACGAGTACGAAGTGGTCTACATCAAGCCATTAGCAGGAATGTACAAAACCATAAAGAAGCAACTGGAGAATCACGTGACCGCATTAAACACTAATATAACGGACATGTTAGATTCTAGGTTCAAGAAGAGAAACTACTTCTTAGGTGTTCTAAACTTTGACCTGAACCCATTTAAATATTCCTCAACCGGGGATAACATCATTAAGGACCCATACAAGTTGCTGGATTTGGAGAAGAAGAAGAAGATGCTGGGCGGATACAACTACATCGGTATGTCAATCGAAAAGGACTTGGCCACTGCGAATGACGGCCTGGCGTACTACAATAAGATGAATGACCTGTACAAGAAGCAGTTGGATGCAGTGAATAAAAAGATTAAGGAAGTGGAAGATGAGATTAAAAAGATACCAGACGGGGAACCTAATGCTGCTACCAACAACCAATTGATTGCCGTAAAGGAAGAGTCGAAGAGTTACCTCCCGTTCCTGAACAGCATCAAAAAGGAGTACGAGTCCCTCGTGAGCATGGTGATCACCTACACTAACAACCTAAAAAAATTCATCAACAACTTCCAGATAGAGAAAAGAGAAACTGAGATCATTATAAAGAAATTGGAAGACTACAGAAAAATGGACGAGAAGTTGGAGAACTACAGACAATCGAAGGAAGAAGCTAATGTGATATCTTCTGGTCTTCTGGACAAATTGAAGAAATCAAAATTGATTAATGAAGAAGAGTCCAAGAAGATATTATCCGAGGTATTAAATATGGGAACTCATTTGTTGAATATGGGTTCGGAACATAAGTGTATAGACACCACGGTGCCTGATAATGCAGCCTGCTACAGGTACTTGGATGGAAGGGAAGAATGGAGATGCTTATTAAACTTTAAGAAGGAAGGAGACAAATGTGTGGCAGCATCGAATGTGACTTGTACGGATAACAATGGTGGTTGTGCCCCTGAAGCTGAATGTAACATGAATGAGAACAATCAAGTTGTGTGTAAATGTACTAAAGAAGGTTCTGAGCCACTCTATGAGGGAGTTTTCTGTAGCTCCTCCAGCTTCCTAAGCTTGTCCTTCTTTTTGCTCCTTTTACTTTTCCTCTTTTGCATGGAGCTTTAAAATAAAACAAGAAAACTGCAGCGGTGCCATGTGTAATTTTTTTTTTTTCTGCCTAGCATTTTAAGTTCTTCTGAAGTGGGCTTTGGCTGCACATTTTTCACAATTTTTTTTTTTTAATAATGGCATAAAAAAAAAAAAAAAAAAAATCCTTAAACATATACAACCTTACATAAGCTTTACTAGATAAATCCATTGACAAGTTTTCATCGGGATAATTTTCCTGTCATGTTTACACCATGGTGAGAGTGAGAGGAGGCCTTTAACCCGCCAACGTGTATGCATATAACATAGGAGCTACTTCACCCCCGTGAAGGGGTCAGTACCATGCACATATATACACATGGGAACATACCAGTTACATTGCTCTCTTTGGAATGCTAATGGGCGCTGACAACACGGTTGGAAGCAGAGCAACATCAAAACGTGTGGTGATAAAATTGACCCCCGTGGTTCATCCCCTTGTTGCTTATATATTTATATATATTATATACAACATATGGCTTCAGCATTCTTTTTTTAAATTCCAAACTAGCACAATTTAGTAACTTTTTTTCCCTTTTTTTTTTTAATCAAAAATACAGCTTAAACTTTTTCACCGCCCGGTTCTCTTCGTTCCTGTGGTTGGTGATTATTCCCCCGGTTGGTTCAGAAAAGAAAAATCCTGATTTTGTGTACAACTCTTGCTTGAAAATGACTCTAGGTTATTCCCAATGACGGATTGGAAAAGTTCACTTTGAAATTCCCGCGCGATTAGCGGCATAACTATGAATGACCACTGTTAATGTCGGAGGTAGGAACTGGGCGACCAGGGGGGGAGGGCGGTCATCACGCAAGCAACGGGGTGGGCAACCGGGTACGCAACCACGTGAATAACCTCGTGAGTAACCACCCGAGCAACGGCGCGAACGGTACTGGCGGTGGAGGAGGGGACGCCGAACTGATGTTGAGTGTCGATGCTCATCTGGCAAGAGGAATACCCAGTTTTCCCCCAGGGTATAAACGGAAATGCTCTTCCGCCCCCGTCGAGTGAGAAGAAAAGCAAATCGAAGGAGGACATGCACATTCAGGGGAATATTGCTATAGAGGAGGGAATCCCCCGCACACGTAATTGTTCGGAAAAAAAAAATATCCACGGGGATGACAGAACAAAGCATGTGCGTGGAAGCAGAAAAAAATTTTGCCTTAACGGGAACAAGAAGTGCGCAAAAAAAAGCGGCACACAAAATTATTATACCATCAACGAATGGAACGATGAACAAACAAATTGCAATTTAAAAAATGAAGAAATATGTTTTTTTCGAGGGGACCAAAATAACAAAATGAATTATGCACACCTGCATGGGAACAACAAGAGTGTTCCAAATAGGGAGGAAAGTCAGGGGAGTGGAAAAAAGATAAACAGCAATGTTCACGTGGTTAGTGACATAAAGCAGAGCGCCCACGTGGGGGGTACGTCCAACCACAATCTGAGTGACAAGAAGGATGGAAAAAGTGTTGAGACGAACCATGTGGATAGGGAGCAGCATCATAAGGAGATACTCCAGAGGGGGAGGAGAAACCATTATAGTGATGGAAAATTTGGGAGGCAACAGCCAAATGTAAATTACTACAATAGGTTCGATTACGTGAAAAGGGAAAGGATGGTGGAGCATTATAAAATGTTAGACGCCGTTTACTCCAGCCATAGTGGAAGGAGCAATCGGTACTACCATCAAAGGGGCAGCTACCGAAACGAATCCACAGGTAGGGGAACAACGGATCGGTGTCATCGTTACTACCCCAAAGAGAGAAGCGACAAGGTGGCAGAAGGGGGCAGGAGAGACCGAAATGGAACTATACATAACAGCGGTCATTCGGTTAGCTCACCTTTGAATAATCCCCCCTACGGTAGCAACACGGAGATGCATTACCCAAATATCATCGTCAAGAGAAGGGCAAACAGCAAGACTACCTTCTTCAGTCACACTGGTGAACATGATAAGGGAAGGCAAAAACAAGTGCGCGGGGTTGAGGTGGACCAATCAGTGGATTCATCCCAACAAAATTCTGCACACACAAATGAAGTTCATCCCAGTCACGGGAAAACACACTCACCATTTAATCGGAACGAGAAATCGGAAGAACACTTCACGTATAGCCTCCACGAAACGAATGAGAGAAGTACACCCACGCTGCAAAATAGTTATTTAAATGAATCGAGACCAGTCAACATGGCTGCAAATGGTCGTGGAAGAGCTCTGCTTGAAAAAGAAACTGAAAGAGGCCAAAGTGGGCCGTATTATATTCATCATGGGGTGAAAAATAATGACGTGGTGGAAGTTCCAAGGGAAGAATCTAACTGGCAAAGCACAAATAACGATTTGGAGAAAATGGACGACACGAATGAGACCGCCAGTGGAGGTACCAACCAGAAGGATACCCCACCGATGGGAGGCAGCCAAAATGGGAATCACCATTTGAGGAAGTTGAAGAGGGAAGAAGAAAAAAAAAAAGTAATGAACTGGAAGCTGGAGGAACAGACGCTGCTTGAGGAAGGATTGCGAATTTACAAGGATTTAAAAAATTGCCCAGAAAAATGGGAAAAGGTTAGTGAAATTGTGAAGACCAAAGGTCCAGAGGACTGCTTGAAGCGCTTCCTCTATTGCAGGTTCGTGGTTCTGAAGGAGAAGCAGAAGATGGAGAAGGAGCGACAAGAGCGGGAACGGGAGCTGAAGCGGGAAGAGCAGAGCGAACTCGAACCCAACGAATCGAACGAACCGAATGAGGAAGGCAGTGAACAGGAGAATAACGAGGAGTTGGAGCAGGACATTGATAGCGACGACATGAACATAAACAACAATGCCAACATAACGGGGAAGAGTCTTGTGCTTAGCAACGTCCACATCAAAAATATATCGCTGTACAAGGCCGTCCAGTTGAAGTAGGTGCTTGCAACGGGGCTTTCGCATGGGGGGTCCACGACCGCCAGAAGGCTCACGCAGTCGTGTACACCCCATATGCATACACTTCTTATGTGCTCTCTTCGTATGTGACCTCTTCACATATACATGCCCATGGATCCCCCCCTTATCCCCCAAGGCTACAGCTGCTTTGCACCCGGTGCTGCAACACATTTGATTTCGCCACCACGAGCAAAGACGCTCCCCAGTTAGGTAGAGTGAGAATGTCCGCCCTGAGCATTTGATGCGTTAGGCGTTTTCTTTTTGTCGTCTTTTTGTTTTCTTTTTGTTGTCTCCCTTTTTTTTCATTCTGGCATATCATGATGTTATTCTTTCTCCCCCCCCCCCCCCCCCCCCCCCCCCTTTGCATGCAGTCTGCACCTGCGTGAACTGCAGCAGCAGTGTCGTTGTGGAGGTGTACAGAAATATTTGCTTCATGGAGAACAGCTGCGTGTGCGTTTTGAAGTTTAACCAGTGCTCGCTGATGGTAAGTCGAGGGTAGAAACAACCCCACGGAATATATTTATTTTTTTTCTTTTTTGCGGCGTGCGCCTTACCTTTATGTTTACCCATTTTTACATTATTTTTTCCCCTCCCCCTCTTTTTTAGGACTTATTAAGCGGGGATTACAGCGTGAATTGCGAAAGCTGCGGGAGGAAGAGCATCCTGAAGAATGTCACTTCTGGTACTGTCTCAAATCGAATGGGCGTCTGCCCAGGGGGAGGAGTTGCCTCTCCTCGCATGCATGTGTGTGCAATGATGAAGGTACCCCTACTGGCGCACCGTCATTTTTTACCGATACGCTATTTACCCCCACTCCCCATGACAGGCAAAGAAATGCACGTGAACTGCCAGAAGTGCTTCACCAAGCTGGAGTTCAAATACAGCGGCTTCTCCTTTGACGAGATAGTCAGCGCAAACAATGCCGCGATAAAGAAGTAAAGCCACTTGTGTGTATCTGTGTGTACCAACAGGGGGGCACGCATGTGCACACATATGCCCTCCAATGCGTATACGTCTGTGCACCCATAAAATAGTTTGCACTCGTGCACGCATTTCCCCCTTTGCAGAATCGACGAAATGATAAACAAACTGTTCACGAAAAAAAAATCCACCAAGAAGGCCGTGCCTCGACCGAACGATTTGAAGATAGAAAAATTCAAAAACGTCATAAAAGTAAATAATATAGAAGTGAAGGATGGTGCATGCAAGCATTTTAAAAAGTCCCATCGCCTCTTCAAATTCCCCTGTTGTAACAAGGTGAGCAGTTGCCGCGTATTGACGACCCACCCCGGGGTGTATATACACTGAGATGGGCATGTGGTACATGTGCACCCTTCCTTATTGTTTTTGTTCGCTTTCCGTTTCCACCCTTTCTAAAATACAACATCACTATGTTTTACTCCGCCCCCACCGTACGATATTTTTCTTTCTCCCTTTTTAAAGATATTTCCGTGCCCCACTTGCCACGATTTAAATAGCAACCACGAATGTTGTATTGCCAAGCGGGTGATTTGCGGATTTTGTTTCCGTGAATTTGATGACGACGACGTGTGTATATGTCAGCGGGACAAGAAGACGAAGAAAGGCGGGAACTTCTGGGAGGTTTGCGAAATGAGAAAAAAAAACGTCGGGCGCGTCACCCACCTGTGCCAACTGTGCCATATGTACATACCGGTTATATAGCGACGCACGCGCAACATGCGCACGTGTGTTCATACACGTATACCGCTTCGCGCGGCCACACACCTTTCACCACTGCCCCCATTTCAACTTTTCAAGGGAGGAAAAGGATGCCGCAACGCAGTCACGTTAAGCAAAAATGACTCCAAAAAGTACAAGTTGTTGAACCGGCAAACTGTGCAGAAGAAAAAGAAGAAGTAGCAGGGGGGTCTCTCGCACGCAGGCGAGTCAAACAGACGCGTCAAACCGGCGCGTCGACACATTTGTGCCATTTGGATCTTCACAAATGGGGGGAATACATACTGTGCTGCGCAGTATGTGGCTTTAATTTTTGTTTTCTCTTTTTTGCACGTTTCTTCACTTTTTAATTTTTTTTCCCACCCCGGCGCAGTTCTTTTACGAGCACTTTTTTTACGTGAACTTTTTCTACGACCATTTCTTCCATGCGCATTTCTGCCACGCGCATTTTTTTCCAATTAGCACTTGCCTCTTTTTTCTTTCGCCTCACATTTATAACGCTGTGTGTGATTTACTTTTAAAAATCTAATTTACTATGATGCGTGAATTTAAATTGGGGAATCCATTTGCGGCAGATGGGTAGGAGGTTAAAAAAAAATTTGATGAGCGGTAGGTGTCTGTGTGTAAATGGGCGGATAATTGGACAACTAGATAATGGTCACGTAAAGGGTTGACTTGGTGAGGAACCTCGCGCGTGGCTTCAAAGGCACACCCGTTGGCTATTCGTCAGCAACGCTGAGGCAATCACGCAAAAACAAAAAAAAGAAAAAGAAAGGAAAAAGCGGGCGCGAAGCGACGCACAAAGAAAACACAAAGCGAATGACATAAATAAAATGACACGATAAACACGATAGACACGACAAAGACGCTACGTATAAAATAAAGGGCATGCAACTTTACAAAAAAAAAAGAAGAAAAGGGGCCTTTCCGAGACGGCATCAAATTGGGTCCTTAGGGGACAAAAACAAATATTGGCACCTGCGGTGGGGGAAAGGAAGGGGGCGACGGAATTGGGAACGCGCGGTATGGACGAGCGTGAAGCCAAGGAAATAGCAAAATGAGGGACGAACGAACGAGCTGCCACCTCCCGCTGCGAGCCGGGATCTCCGGCTGCGCCTTCCTCCTTACTTGTGGGTGAAATGCAACTTATGGATGTTGAGAAATCCGGGTTCCCCATCGTACTGGAAATAAATCTTGTTCTTGTTCTGAATAAACGTTTTGTCAATCTTCACCTTGATGTCACTCCCCTGGCAGAGTTTAATCGGATTGGACATTCCGATCTGGACCTGGAAAATATGGAACATATTGCGAAACCCGATGACTTCAATGAGCTTATCGTCCATCTTCTGCTTTCGGTACTTCTGCTTCCGTCTCTTTTGTCGATAAAAGTCCAGTCTGTACGATCTGTATATGTTGCTATAGTCGAATGGCTGGTCATTCGTGGGGGGGGAAGGATTCTCCTCCCGTTCTGAATGATTCACTCCTTCATTGTGTGAAGGTGTAATCCCATTTGTTTTTTCATTTTGGAAAAACTCCGACAGGTTGGTATCCTCCCCAGCCGAATGTTTCAAAGCAGCACTTTTTAGAAATTCCGCCATGCCCATCTGTTTATGGTCATCAAAAGGGTGCCCCGTTTCCCCCCCGAAACTGTTGGAAAGAACTCCTCCCTTTTTTTCATTGTGCAAATTATCATTCATCGAGGAGCCAATAAAGCTGCTATTGCTGGAGCTGTTGGCTGATTTGTTACCATGCAGTAGTTGCTTCATCTCCTTTTTACTTGGCCTCCTTCTGACATGATCCTGTTTTTTCCTATCAATGTCCGAATGGTACTGTTTATCCTTGTCATCATCATCATCATTCCATACTTTAATTCCCCCAAGAAAGTAGGGGATGTTAAGCAAACAAACACTCTCTATGTCCTCATCAATTTTGACTTTCTTCCCATCACAGTACAGTTTTATATTTTTGTTTAATTTATATTTGTATGTATTGAAGCAGAAATCCCTAAAGCCTACTTCTCCATAGAGTATTTTATTTCCAATTCGGCTATTAAAAAAATGGGGGAACTTCTTCCTGATGTTATCAAAATGGAGAGCTAATCTCGCGATTATTCCAAAGTCGAAGTAGTTCATAAAGGTATTGTTTAGAATGAGATTGTTGTTTAGGTCATATGCTTTCATATTCCATACATCGATGTATTCATTTTTTGCTGTCTTCATTTTGTTTAAATACACCAATGGGTCGTTATTGTACCCACCCCCCCATCCTAGACTGTGACTTAAATCGTTTCCTGTGCCTAGGGGGAGTACACTTATAGGTGCACATGCTATGTAAGATTCTACAGAAGTTTTGTGTGATCTGGCTGCTTTATCTTCCCCGTTCATTACGTTATTTATAATTTCTTTTTGTTCACAAGAGGGGTGGTCATCACCTTGACGAGTTTTTTTCTTCTCCTTTGAGTGCACAACTTTGTAACCATTATCTATTTGGACGACGATATCTTCATCACTTCGATATGGATCTACTGCTTCCAACTTGGAGAGTCCATTAGTCAGGGTTGTTGTCTTCCCGTTTACATCCCTTTGGTAATTCGCGGGGTAACCATCCTGGTAACAACCCTGATAATGACCCTCTCGGGGTGTCACATCGCCCCGATTGCAAAGATAAACTGGGGTGCCGCCATCACAGTCAGCGCTGCCGCTGTTAAGTGAATTCCCATTACTGTAGTTCGAACTGGTGCCATTACCTGAGTGCTGCTTATTGTCTGCTTTGTTTGGGTTTGGCCCCAAAGTTCCGTCTGGTTCATCACTTGGGTTCGCCCCATTGGCTTCCTGACAATACGACGGCGAATTTTCATTTAATTTGGTTTTCATTGGCAAATAAATGGTGGATTTTTCTTTGTAATCATGGTAAAGAATATTGTCGTACATTTTTTCATTCTCCTTCCCCCTTCGAGCTCCAAAATGGGGGTCCTCATTATTCTCTGTGTAATTACTATATATGAGTGTGTTGCCATTGTAGTATTTGTCCAGCATGGAGTTCCCATTTTGGAAGCTCTTCACTGTGCTTCCCTTGTAGGCTTCGCCTTCGCAGGATTCGCCTTGGAGGAGTTCAGCGTCTCCGAGTTCGCCTCCGTTTTCTCCCTCGTCATCCTTCTCGGCGCCCTTTTTTTTGAAGTTCCTCAGTTTTTCCAGGATGTAGAGGTACTTCCCATTTCCGCACTTGACTTCGCTTCCCCTCCTGTCCAGGTCCTTGGGGCTGCTGCGCCCTGAGCTCCAGTCGTTGATCTCGCTGTTCAGATCGTTACTCAGGTGTCGGAGCAGATCGTCATTTAAGTCACCACTTAACTCACTACTTAACTGGGAAAGTAAGTCGGCCTTCAATTCGCCATTCAGTGTTGCGGGATCGTCGATGCGTCTACCGCCTGCAAACGCACCCTTCACCTTCGACGTCAGTTTCGGCGCCAATTCATCACTTTGATTTTGGCCCCACACGTGCGCCGTGCAGGAGTCATTCCCAAAGTACGTTTCCGCGTTTTTCTCACTTAGGTGCCCCGAATCGTCATCGTCACCGCAATTGTCTGCATCTTCCCCATCAGTATTCTTCTCAGTCCTTTTTTTTAAAAAAAAGGTGGTCGGCTTCTTCGCCTGCACGGTGATGTTATTTGCCCACTTCTTCCTAAGCGCGTCTTTATTGTGCTTCAACTTTGCCGTAATGTTCATGATGGTTTTATTTAGGAATGTATTCTTGGTAGAGACAAATTGTTCATTTTTTTTATCACTGCCGTACAGTTTGTTGTATTTCCCTTTGTTCTTTGCCTGCAGAGCACCGATGGCAACTTCATTTGCAAAAAATTTTAATAACGTGTTGATGAAGATGCTTATCGTTCCATCCCCTCCACAGAGAAGGATGATTACTCTGTTCAGGCAAATCATTTCCTTATACATATTCAGGGCATTTAAAACATTTTTTTCACTTTTTATACTTATGATTTGTAGGGGGTTAAAATACATGAGCAACTCTTGGTAGAGTTTTTTTCCAACTTGACCTCCACTTTTTACATTTATAAAAATGAGGATAATTTTTCTACTACTTTTTATTTCATAGATTGGTAAATGGATGGGGAAGAAATTCAGAAGAAAGTTTTCATGCACTTGGATTATCCTATTTTTTTCTTTTGAACAATTGGGGAAGGATTTAAATTTTCTCATTTTGTGAAATATGGGGAACTGGTTTATATAATCCAGGCAGAGTCGTTCATCTGGTGTTTCGTTGCCTCCAACGGATGAGTTTCCTCCTCCTTTCATTTTTTCCAGTTTCTTCTCTTTTGTTTTTCTTTCGTGTGAGTTAAACTCACCTGTTCCATCATCGCGTGGGGTATTATCATGCAATGCATTGGCAGTGTAGCTGAGTATCACGTCATCATTGTCCAATCCTGCCTCGTTCACACGGTGGTAGGCATTCGTCAAGAAGTCTAGAAGGTCGTTTTCTTTAATGGAAACTTCGTACGGGAGAAGCAAATACTTGTTATTTCCATAGGTACAAATTGCATCCTTCACTTGTTTTTTCTTATCCTGTGTTTGGTTTTTTTTTTTGGCAACTTTCGCTATGCAATGGACATGAAAATATTTGTTGCACCAAATGCATTTATATATGTACTGTTTCACAAAGGGGGGAAGGGAGAAGTAGGAAAATTTTTTACTGCAGATGTTGCATTTATTATTCCACATACAGTTCCTAATTTTTATAAACTTGTGTTTATTTTTGAAGAACACAGTCGTTTTGCAGCTCATCAAGCTGGAGTTGGGGGCACATTCTATGTGGCACTTATTTCTACAGACCACGCATTCGAAAATGTCTTTTTTGTAAAAAATAAAAGAGTAGATGCTTTCATTGCATACGTTGCACAATTCGGTTCGGTTGATACTTTTTAGGTCAAATATATGTGGGCTGTACGTTATGTGATAAAATTCGTTATTCATTTGTTCTACATCCGCCGCTTCACGCGCTTGCGAAAAGGTGGGTTCTACTATTTGTGCCTCTTCATTGGCCGCGCAGCATTTTTGGTCTTCCGCTAGTTCGGCTGCCTTCTTACCGTTTCCGTGGCGCACATTATTTAGCTGTATATATATGTTGACCTTTTTCTTCTTTTTGTTTTTACGACGAGCAAAGATGATACTAATGAGCACTATGCACAAGCAAAAGAGCAGCTTCACAATTCCTATTCCAAGAAGGTATTCTTTGCATTTCTTTATAATGGTCACGAGAAGATTTATATAAACATTTTTGTCTACATAAGCAAAATCTTCCATTTCTTATGAATCTTAATTTGACTAGGAAGGGGGCAGTTGGCGGCATCTGCGCGTTGCTGACTCGACTCGCATTTTGAAGCCCTGGCCTTTTGCGCTGTGCAGTCTTGACACCTCTAAGGCTTTGCACCTGTGTGTGTATCTATGTGTATGTGTTTATGTGTGGGGTGCTTCTAATTTTGTTCTAAATTATACGCCTCCTCCTGCTCCTTCCCTGCTTGTCCATAACTATACCAAGTGTAAGCAAAAATAAGGAAGTGAACTTTTTTTTCTTTTGTTTTTTTCTTCAAGTTAAACATGTGCTATTTTTTAAAAACGCATTTCATTACTGCATCGTCGAGGGGAACCTCAATACTTCTGCATGTTGAAGGGCGTTAAAAGGGGGAACAAATAACGGAGAAACAAATAAGGTAAAAAAAAGAGGGGCGTCAAGTGGTACAACAAAAGGGGGAAAAACGGAAGGACACGTCTCAGGACGGAAAAGGAACAATCTACCCCGTGGATACAAACTTGTGAGAGAAGTATTGATTTGGCTTCTTTCAACGCTGTGCTATTTTTTTTTCTATCAATGTATGTTCACTGCCCTTTCTGTGAAAACTTCTGGGTAACATATGTTTGTTACTCATCGAAGTGGTTTCCTCAGATTGCTTATCTGTTCGCCTATCTACCAGTGTGACGTCTGGGAAAGTTCACTAGTACGGTGTAGTACGTACACAAATGTGGGCAACGAAAAATGCCTTTACCTGCATACGTGTATATTTTTATATCTATTTATACAGGCGGACGTCCCCCATGACAATTGCGCTAATTTCACGCTGTCGGAAATATACATGACTTTTTACGTTGTTTTTCAGTGAATATCAATATTAAAAAAAAAAAAAAGTTACAATGCATTATCTGCATAACTAATTCAAATGCATGTAGTTTTTATGTTTTCTATTTTTTCTAGTTAGAATCTAAATAATAGTATAAAAATAGAAGGCGGGGAAAAAAAAAGAAAAGAAAAATACCCCGTTTGGTATAAACAAAAATATATATATAAAATTACTTTTTAAAATTGTATGAAAAAAAAAAAAAAAAAAAAAACGCTTTCCCCCCAAATATTTATATGTAATATGGCGAATATATAATTTTTTTTTTCTTTTGTTTTCATACAATTTTAAAATTAAAAGGAAAAATAGCAAATTTGTTTTTTTTTTAATTTTATAATACCTACGAAAAAAACGATTTATGAAAAAAAAGAATTAGCAAAGCGGTCGCGCAAGATATGTCAAAGTTTAAAATACAAACATTTTTGTGGAAAAAAGGCCAACATATGATGTGATTGGGGGGAGGGGTGGAGCTGGCTATTTATTTGTAGGCAAAATGTTATGTAATTTGCCGAGCGGGGGAAATGGGTAGGGACACGCAAGAAGAAGAAAAGAAAAAGTGAACGGTAAACGTGAGAACAAAAGTGAGCGGTAAACGTGAAATAAAAGTCAGCGTGAAAGTAAAAAACATTAATTCCCAAAAAGATTACCAAAAAAACAAAGAAGAAATTGACAAAAACAGGAGGAAATTAAGAAAAAAAATATACACAACTTGAGGGGACAGTTTGCATATGCAGCATGACAGTGTACTAACCGTACATAGCATTGTAGTACACATGCGTGACGTAATAATGGCGGCTTTCCGAACAGCAACGAAAAAGAAGAAGTGTACACAAAAAAAAAAGGCGTTAACGGTGAAACACCACTGATGTGCCTTTTTTATTCCGTTCCGGAAATTATGCCTTTTGGCTGACAAAAAAAAAACTTCTATCTATTTGTATATCTTCTTTTTCATTCTTTTTTGAGATGGAACTGCTTTAATTCTACCAGCAGGAAAAATCCATTCTACTGTTCTGTTTCGATTTTGAGTGCGTTTCCTTTTTTAAAGGGTTCAGTTTGGGTTTGCTTAATTCTTCACTGGTTTTCCCTCTGTGGGTGGAGGAGATCGCGGCGTTCGTTCTTGGCGTTGCTACCGCTGCACCCTTCTTGAAGTCGTTCCACTTTATGTACTTACCGATACTGTCATTTTTATTCTGGACGTACTTTCCATCGTCTATGTAGCTCTCTGTGCTATTTTCCGGCCGAGTTTTCTCCTCCTCCTTTTTTCTCATATTTGCTTTCATTTGTTTCACCACGTCTTTGAACGGGTTTGTGTAAATGATGACTTCGTTCAGGGTGTGCTGAGTCTGCGAAGGGGGGGTGGAGAAGTGTATAACTTGTGTAACACTTGTGTAGCGGCGTGGACAGGCGTGTATCACCGTGTGGCGATACGTAAAGATCAAAACACACATATGTCGCTTATCTGGGGCAATGCAATTTGTATCCATCTTTCATATATTACATCACTACTTGAAGCGGGGTCCAGATTTTTCAGCTTCTCAAGGGTTTCATTTCCGCCTACAACTGTGTGAGGAATGCGCAGGGGGAGGTGTGTGTGTGTGTGGGGGAAATATGTGAGAATGTAAAACGATGAGCGCAATCAGTGTAACGATTTGGCTGGTTCGTCAGAACTTATGTTCACAAAGGACGGTTGCTTTTTCGCAAGGACAAGCAAATGCTCTGAAGTCTGCAGGCACGAACGCTCTCAGGGCAGTAGACACGGCCGCCTCACCTTTTCCCACGCAGGCATCCCCTGTGCTGTACTCCTCCGCCAGGCAAATGTAGAACATGTTGGAGTACATCTGATTGTAGTACCTAAAGAGGTACACATTTCCAAAGCAGCTCTTCTCCGAGGGGGGCTTGTGCCCACTATGGTTCACATATTTAATTGCCACGTCACTATCGTCGTCGCTATGTACCCCCATTATCGATTCTTTCAGTGCCTGCATAGCCGTTTCATCATTTATCTTGTTTCTCATTTTGTTTTTTTTTAATTTTTTTCTCCAGTAGAAGCCGGATGCCGCTAAATGGTAATTACTTTTACAGGAACCAAAATAAACAATGTCTTCCCTTTTATCCTTTTTAAAAATGTCCGTTCTGTTATAGTATTTATATTCACTGAGGAATAAAAAATTGTGGCACAGCTTGGGCAAAGTGGAGGCGTAGAGTTCAATGTTGATCATGCCTACATCCGTTATAAGTCTCACGTAACTATTTTTCTTGTTTTTTCGAACCTGCTCATAAATCATGTCTTGGACTTGGTTCTCGGGAAGGTATATAAAGCTATGCTTGTATGTAACGTTCGATATGGTTGAAGTTACACTTTGCGCTAATTTATTGTCACTATAATTTTCACACTTTATTTTTATTTCATTTTCGCTGTTATCCTCTTCATCATCTGGGTCAGCATAGTTTGGGGGGAACATATACTTTCCATCTCCTCTTTCCATTTCTGTTCCATCTATGCCTTCTTTATTCTGAGTTGTATGATTTTTGTCTCCCTTCTTCCCCCAAGGATGTTTCCCCATTTGGAGATCTTCACCTTTGTCTTGGCCACTTTTTCCATCCCCCTTTTGCTTCTGCACTTCGTGAAGGATACTCATAATGGCCCCATTATCCTGAATCGATTGAGCTTTTATTTTTTTCGCTTGGACAACGTTTTGGCTGAGTTCATGTGATTTGGTTGCTTTATGCAGGGGGTCCTGTAGGACAATCAAATCTGTCTTTTGCATCGGGTCATGCGTAATTGGATCAAACATGTCCTTTTTGTTCTGAAATAATTTATATATCTCTGAGGAGTATACATTCCCCGTTTTTTTATTTAAAATAATTTTTGAGTGTTGATTAAAGTACTTTCTCGTGACTGGACATATGTACTCATTATTGTGTTTGTAAAAGTTTGCTTTAATTAGATTTTTTAGGTCAATCGTTGGCTCCGTTTTTTTCCTTTCCTCCTTCCTCTTGGCCATCTCTTCTAAAACGCTTTTTTTATCGTACAGTCTTCCATCTTCATCACAGTAGGGGTCGCTGAAGGGCCTTAGACTTATGCAGCTGAAGAAGGGGAACAACGTGGACGACACGGGTCGGGTATAGGGGTTGGGCCCACTGCGCACGGGGATGCCTTCACACGGGCTCAGAACAAAATATACAGTGGCGGAAGAATGTAGCCCCGAGCGGGTACATATATAAACATATATACAGAAACGTATATATATAAGGATATATATATAAACATGTATACCTATATACGTACGTGAGAACGCTTTCGTGCTTCCCCAGACGTGTAATGTTTTTTTTCTCTCTTTCCTGGGACAGAGTAACATATGTATGGTAAAAGCGCTCACCAGTAATTAAAAGGGAGGAAGGTCGAGTTCCTGGACTTGTGTTGCTTCTTTATCAAGGCATCTCTTCTATACTCTGACTGCAAAATGTACAACTTATCTTTGCTGTGTTTGTGTTTTCCCATTGTGGCCAATTCGGGGGATTTCGCCTCGTAAATTTTGAAGCGTAAAAATTGTACGGGAGGGTACCCACGGATTGGGGGAACTTTCGTCAATTTTGTTCCTTCAGCTGGATTTATTTATTTTGTTTCACTTCGCCGTTTCACTTCGTCCGTTTTACTCCAGCCCCTTTACGACTACTAACTGGAGCATCGGGACTCGTCAGCGAGCTCCTCACCGAGTTGCACTTTTTTTCAATTGCGCCCTGTGCTCTTTTGAAGGGGCGGCCAATGAGCGTGCTTCAGCGTGTACCTCAGCGTATGCAAAGCGAGTTGTGAGTTACGCGCATGTACGTGATGAGGACACATTGCGTATGCACCGTGCACGTGCTAGGTATACAGTACATATGTTTTTTTTTTGTTTTTTTTCTCTCAATTCGCCTAGCCATATTTGCCACCTGCCCATGCGAACGTTGAACAAAGGGGGAAAATGACATGCAAGAATTGTATGTAGAAACACAAGCCCATTTTTACCATCGACGTTATTGCTGGCGTGCTTCAGAAAGTATGACCCTTTTTATCCTTTTCACTGGACTAGAAGTGGGCACGCGCATAGGCATACGCTTATGCAAACATGTACAATAATAATATACGTGTAGAGGGACTGCTCACACTGTCACATTTTTCAATCACCCCGATTTCAACGTTTTTGCGCGCCTCACATGTTCAAGCCTCCTTCGACGTACCGCATGCAGCGCCTGTGGCGTGTTAGAACGCCCTGCGGAAATAGAATAACACTTTTTTACTTTTCTGTGTAGCGCTCTCCTGTACGACACTAGGTAGCCTCTTCCCCCCCGCCTTCGTATGGAAGTGAGAGTAAAAGGGCATTCTTGGTTACAACCCCCGACTTGTGCGCATTTCTCATTGATGCATGCAAAGAAGCTACATACTTGCTTCGTAACACCCATGTGACAGTGCCTACTCCTCCACCCCCTTATGGTAAAGTCGCTCGATTTAAACACCTCATCATATGACACATCGAGTGAATACAACGGATTATTTATTGGAAATATATTCAGTGAAATTCAAGATGAAATAAAAAACGAATATGTTGCTGAGACGTTTGAAAAGAAAAATATTTCCGCACAATTGGATGAGGGAAAAGGACGTTGTGGTGAGACCACAAAGGGAACTAGCCATTTTTCTGCTAGGGAGAAGGTTAATATAGAGGAGTATGCAAATTTCGTAAGGGAGAAAAAAAATGAATACAAAAAAAAAAAAAAGGAATATGTCATTGAATATATCAATAAGGGGAAGATAAGAAAATTTCACTATGAAGACATGGAAATTTTATTTAAAAGATTTTACCAGTTTTTGGATTTTCAAGAAAAGTGTCTATTGTGTTGCACGTACTTGTCGTTCCCACATTTATATCTGAAGGCGCGCCGGGAAAGAGGCTGCAAAGAATTTGCAGAGAAGTACCAACACAAGGGGGGGAGTAGCTGTAGTGCTAGCACGGCTAGTACTGTTAGTGAGTGTTGTCATCCTCGCTCCCATTATCGCGCTTCTGGCGCGCCTTTTTGCGAGTGTCTAGAAACCATTGGACGGTCGAAACAGTACCTAAACGAGAAAAAGGACGACTTCTACATAGACATGATTCACCTTTTGCAGCAAAACGGATTATCCTTTTCGTCCAATGTAAAAAAAAATATTGTTATAAAGGAATTTACCAAAAATGCAAAGCTTACGGAATTTTATAAGTGCAATTTTTTTAATGAAAAATGTGTTAATACTCTCCCTGTTAAAAATGTCGATATTGTAGATACAAAATATGTAAACATATGTAGATACCTGGAGAAGCCGCGGCTGACTATTGAACACGTCAAGTCGCTAAACAGTCACACGGAAAATTTTACGCCCTTTTTTGTAAGACGAATTGCGCATTGGGAGGAAATATGTTTTTTTTTTTTTTTTGCATTTCATTTTGTGTCCTTGTTCCTTCCATATTGTTGTTTTTTTTTTCCATTTCTCCAGAAGGTTCACAAGACCACCACGATCTTAACGATGGTCGAAAAGAAGCTTCTAATCGAGTGCCTAAAAGTGATCAAGAAGATATCTGTTTACGACAAAATAGACAAGCTAACCGTCATCATTTTTTGTTACTTGAGCAATTTGTACAACGTGGTGATGCGGCTGAATGCGGAGTGTATTTTGAGTTGCTACTCGCAGAAGCATTTCGAATTTTTCCTATACGTAAGTGCGCAAAGTTGGTGGCTTCTAACACGTTCGCCCTCTGTTGCGTCCATTTCACTGTGTAGTATGTGCAAACGGGGTGTTAGCCCCTTATTTTATTAACTGCTCTATATTTTATTGTTTTATTCTTTTTTTTTCCCCTCTGCAGTATTTCTTTCAAGAGAACCCCCCATCCGATAGACGGACGAAAATGCTAATCATGAAAGTTTACAGGAGAGCCGATAGGCGCGATGACCTCAGCGAGGATCACAACTCCTAGCGATTTTGTTTAGTTTTCACTTTTTTTTATAATTAAAACTTTTTTTTGCACTTGCCTTGTTTATTTGACTCATTTATTTTCCCCTCTATTCTGCTCTTCTCGATGCCCATCAGTCATTCTTCCATCCGGTGTATCCCACCCTAGGCAAAATTACTTAATTTATAATTCGAGCATGCCGTTATATGTACCGCTTAACCTTTTCTAAGCATTCTGCCTTACGTGTGATGCCCCCCTCCCCCAGGGCATTTTGACATAGCGTGCATACACTCACTGTCGTATCCCTTTTACTTTTCCACAAGTGCTATGAATGAAGAAAAAAGAAATTTGCACGAGGCAATTCCTTTGTTTACGTCTTTTGTTTATGCATCGAATAGGCAAAACTTTGTAACCCCCTTTTTATTTGTTTTTTAAATTAAAACGCCGAATTGGGGAATCACCATTTGTAGGCATAGGAACGTGTGGTATTGTGTATATAAGCACATATGCGCCATACGTATGTGTGTACGTTTATTTGAAAGGGCAACCCCGTCGAGTAATCTTTTCGCTCGACAAAGAAAACAATTAAAACACTGTTAAGCGCATTTTAGGAAACGTAAAAAATAGTGGGAAAACGAAATGGCCTAAAATATTTCCCTCTCGTGTGGAAAACCAAAGATGTTTTTTTTTTTTTTTGTAAGTGCTGTGCTTGAATGAAACTTCACTATCTGGAAAAAAAAAAACTGATGTTCCAAGGAATTTTCAAAAGCTTGTTATATATGTGTAAAAATACCACTTGCAGGAATAGTAACCCTTTTTTAGAAACGCGATGGGGTAAACCTTTGATCTGATTGTCAGCACGTCATCAATTTGTTGGCGGAAAAAATACATAAAACGATGAAAAGATGATAAAGTAGCAAATGGAAATATAATTATAACGCCAAAAATTGGAGGGAACTTTTAGCAGATCTGTACACTTCCCCCCCAAGAATATAACGCAGTGGCGTATACATGTGCGTGTAGAAATATATAAAAGAAGTTTGTATATTTCTTACACGGTCATTTTATGCACGCATTAGTGCTGTGCATTCATTTTATTATACTAGTGGTTTGACATTTCTTTTTCTCTTTTTTACAAATTTATTGAGGCGAACACAATTTTGTTTTCTTTTTATTCCTTGTTTGACCTCCCCTATTTTGCGTTTTATTTCTTTTCATTCCAGTTCTCAGTAAAGAACCAATTGGTCGTGTGAACAAACTCTTCACCCTTTTTTTTTTTTTTTTTGCCATTTTTTACTTGTACATTTTTTTCCCAAATGTACTGCTCTGAAGATATATGTTACAAATATGTAAGCCTATAAAATCCCTTGGCCTTTTTCCTATATTCGTACTGAGAATTTGTCCCTGCGTTTTTTTTTCTTTTCTTTTTGCATTCGCTTAAAGTAGAAGTAAAGAGGATGTACAAATATTCTTTGTTGTAGCTTCTTCAAGGCCCGAACGTGGCGAATTAGCCGAATGTACGTTCGTGCACGCCTGCATACTGCATACACCAGTTCGAAAACAGAATTAAGTGAAACCCGCCGTCTCCGTATGCCCAATTGTACGCAGATTGCGTGGCGTTATTTTTTCACCTTGTTTTTGTACAGTACATCTTATGCATGTATGTATATGTGTGTGACCCTCCGGGGAGTTTCTTTTTAAAATGCTCTTTCACATACATTGAAAATTTCTACACGCATTGTGAAACTGCAAGGTTCATTTTTGTTGCTCGCTCTAATTTTTTCCTTTTGTTTTGTTCTCTATTTGTTAAGTGGCACACAATTGTATGGATGCATCATGTGAATTGCAAAAGTGTAAATGCAAAACTGATAGGAAAAAAAAAAAAAAGAGGAAACTTTAGAACAACCATATTGAGTGATCTCACTTAATACAATAATGCGAACACTAATGGGGTGAGTAGTAAGAAAATACTCAAGAGAGCAAAAAGAAGAATCAGAGCAAGAGGAAGAACAAACGCTCTCCTCTCCCACCAAAAAAAAGGGGAAGCAAACAGAAAAAAAACAGAATATATTATACCCAAGCCAAAGCTATCGCTCCAATTGTCTGCCACACCAAAGGACAAACAGTAATGCTGTAACGCAGGGAAGACAAAATGGGAAATTGCAAATCGTATTCCGCGAACTTTAACGTTTATAAAAACAACACAAACGAACTGTATGAAAATTTAATATGCCACTTTGTGAAACAGGATAACCTTAGCTTCTGCCAGAAGGCCTTCGTCGTATATGAATGTAATTGCAAAAAATTTTTATTTGCGCACTGTGTAGAACGAGTTTAGTAGCGCTAGCACTTGGAGGCGCATGTGCATAGATATGTATTCATAGATGTATCTATCTATTTGTCTATCTATCTATATACACCTTTGTGTGTATATGCTACGCCCGTGGCGAAGACCCCCTTCGCAGCTGCGAAACTGTGCCTGTCGTCCCCAAATTCCTTGCACATCATTTTCTTCATGTCTCCATTGTGTAACTCTCCCCAGTTAGGAGCAAAAATTGGTACATTCGACATGTGTTATGGTGAAAAAATTGCTTCCATGTGAAGAATCCACACCCGTTTGTTTTTTAAAAACCATGCATGCTATGGAGATATAACGTTATTCCTTTGAAGTGATGTACACAACACCATTAGTGACATGCGCCAAGTGTGTATTCTCTCCAGTTTCGTGCGTATGCCCATCTTTTTATGTATGCATGTGTGTATCCCAGCGCATTTGTGTTGTGTGAACGTTTTGTGTATGTGCATACGGTTGGAGACTTACCTCCCCTTCTGAGAATGCCTGAAGAGGGGTGGGGTAGCCCTCGTCATGTGCGCCGATCCATATATGTGTGCTGATAGATATATGTGTGCATATATGCCAATACCTCCGCGCGCATTAGCACGTATTCTCCTTAACATACGCGAACATGTTCCTTTCCCACATCTCGCCCCTTCCCCCCCCCCCTCTGTGTGTAGTCCAAAAGAGGAAGCCCGAAAGTAAGGATGAGTGCGTGTACTACATCGCGAAATGCGCCCACAGGAAAAAGGTGAAAAATGCATTGGTATACCTAAGCGAAGGATACAACATAGAGATTCTTAATTTTCTATTGAAGCTATTCAAGAAAATGAACAATGAGTACTATAACAATAGGACTAATTTCTACTTCAGTAGTTATTATAATTACTTTCTGAGAGAAGAGTCAAAATTTGTCAACTTTTACGAACAAATGAGCATAATACAGAGTATCTATAATTTTGTGCGTCTAAAATATATCCTTGAGAATGTCTGTCTTCATGTCTACTTTGAAGGTATGGATAAATCCAGTGATTTTTACCAAGTGAATGACAACATTGTGAAGAAAACTTTTCACAGCAATGAATTAGTGAAGGAAAAGACAATTGAGTTATTTCACCTGAATAAGAAGCTACTTGGGAACGTATCAACAGAAAGAAAAAAAATGAAATATTTAGTAAAAAGGAGTTTTATAAACGTCGAAGATTTTTGTAGAAAGCACCTAAGCTGCAACGCATTTGATGACTTCAAAATGGCGAATGTTATGTGTCTCTACATTTTGAACAATAATTATAAAATTAAGTCAATTCTGCATAATATATTTACCATTTTGTTCTTTATAAATAAGTATGCTTCTCTGTACGGGTCAGAAAAGGGGGACGGCCCAGAAAAAGGTCGTCAAAATGAACATGCCGGAGGAAAAAAACGCTTTGATGATAAGGTAAAGTACTCCTTGGAGCACAGAAACGTGTATGCGACGTATTTGTTCGTCTGCTTATGCCTAAGCTTTGATAAAAAAATCGAAGAAGACGCCATCTTTAATGCGAACATTAATGTAAATCAGAAGGACGTGACCTTCGTGAAATATGTCAACGAGTTTTTAGACATTTGCACCTACTCACAGAAAAAATTAAATAAATTTTTTTTACAGGAGAGTAAAGAAAAGAACATATATCACTGTTCCTTGAGAGCTATCAAAAATGCGTACGTGAATGATAACCTTATAAATTCTCATTACATATGCCAGAGAAGGTACATAAAAAGTATCTTAAATGTTGGCAATAGTAATTATTTTATAAAAAACAATATGATGGTTTTCTGTTTTATTTTGTTTGAAAGTTCCCGCACCGCTCTTTTCCGCACAAGCAGCAGAAAGAGCAACCCAGATCCCCAGGGTAACAAATGGTTCTTCGAAATTAATAGAACTTTGTTCTGGAAGGGGATCCACGCGTATGAAGAAAAGGTAACGCTGCGCAGAAAACTCTGGCGAAAGGTGCTGAGGAGCATAAAGTTCAGGCGCAGCAGTAAGAATAGCCATTACTACCATGCGTATGGTAGTGTCAATGGCGAGGAGAACGACAACGATAAGGAGCACCTTAATGAGCACCATAACGGCGATAAGTCCGAAGCCAGAAGGACCCACTCGCTCAGCTCCGAATTGAAAAGAACCGATCACGTCCACTTTGACCTGAACAACGTAGCCCTTTTTAGAGTCGATTTGTGCAACCTCAATTTGGAAAGTGAAGAAAATTTTCAGGACAACGTGCAGAATTACGTAAAATTGTATACCATCGAAAGGAGTAATAACAACCAGCGCTATGTGAGTAAAAAAATTGAAAGTGACGAGGACCACGAGTTGCTACAGATGATGAAGGACAACATCGTGCACATAGTTAGCGTTTTAAAAACCATGAAAAATAAGGAGATATGCTATATATCTCCCGCGAGTTATTACGATGAATCGTATGGTAAAATAAAGAAGGAGAAGAGGACGTTCCCAAATGGAAGTGATACACGAGTGGAAAGCAATGACAATTCTAATCGATCCAAAAGTACAGATAAAACTTTTAAAAAGGAAAGGGGGGAAGACACTAATTTGCTGAGCAAAAATTATGTCAATTTTGAATCCCAAAATTATATGAATGAAGAAAATAGCACTAGACATTTGAATGAGTCCGAGGAGGGGAAAAAGGGGCCCATCGGTTTTACAACACAGAATGAGCTGAAGAAACCGTTTTTCATTGGCATACACGACATCTTCGTTCCGTTCGAAATGGACAAACTGATTCTGAGAGGGACCACTTTGAGCTGTGCACGGGAGGAAGTGATTAAAAAGGAGAAGAAACTGTACGACCAAGTGGTTAGCCACGCCAGGGCTATCACCAAGGGGTATGAGCATCGCGGAAAGGGAAGCGTAAAGGGAAGCGGAAAGGGGAGGAGAAAGCAAAGCGGAAATTTGTCCCAGAAAAAAGAGGAGGTACTACTTGAAGATGATAATTCAAAACGGGGAAAACGTTTCTCTTGCGGAAAGCTGCAAAACGGTATGAACAAAAAGAGAGAAGGGGAGATTTTCTACATGCAAAATTTCCAGTCCGAAAAGAATACAAACTGTCCAAACTATGGCGATAAGTATCAAGAGGCAAAATTGTTAACTTCATCGGAAGAGTTCACAAATGGCAAAGGGGTGAAACCACTATTGAAAAGCTACAGCTTTGCAGATAATTCCAAACACATGAAAGTGGCAATGAAGAAGTTCAGTCGCACGATGAGGAAGAGTGGCGAGGTAGAGATAACCAGGGAGAGCCCCAATTGGGATTTTTCGCCCCTCCATGAGACCACACGAATAGAGAAGGATGCGAAAGGTGCCAAGTGCAAGAACCGTGTAGAGAAACAAAAGGGGGATGAAATTAATAGGAAAAAGGAACAAGTGCAGAAGGATGATGTAGAAGAGGGAGAAAATGAACAGAATGAAGAAAATGAAGAAGGACGTCATTTGAGAAACCCCCCAATTGACGTGCCAAACTATGAAGAAGAAATATACCAGAATGATACCCCTGACCGTTTTAAAATATTTATGCAACACAAATCGGTAGGGGAAATGAGCCCCTTTGTAAATCACAGATATCTAAACATCCATTTTGATATGTTTAAAATACACCGGGGGGAAAAGAAGTTACTCCTGAGTACCTATGTGAGCACAGAAAAGGCGATTCCCTACAGAATTACACTGAACAGGAATGAGCGATTTGAATATATGATGGATCTGCTATTTCTGCATTTAAATTATAATAGGCTCTACTTTGTATACATTCCCCAGAAATATATATGGGGCAACAGCTGCTCCAGTGGTTCCAAGACGAAAAAGAACCCTTTTCTCAATTTCATGTCCTGCAGTTGCGATATAGTGCTAGAAAATTTACGTATAACCCCCGGTGAAAGTTTGAGAAATTCCCCAGTGGATGTGCACGTGCCTCCCTACTTCGAAAGGACCCATTTTGTGGAGGTCATTTTGCTTCTTCTGCTTGACGTGGTAAAGACGTACAGCAAAATAAAAAAGCTGCAGTGCCATTTTGACAACAAGTGTAAAGAATTTATAAAAAGTTTCTACCATTACTATGTTGAAAAAATGAAGAAAAAAAACAGCAATTTTTGTAAAGAGAAGAAAACGAATATTTTAGCAATTACGAGCAGTTTTCTCAAAGAAACATTCGCAAAAAACTCAGATCAGGAGAGCGTGCTCAGTAACGATTTAAACACTTCGTCGATAAAGCGTCGCTCAATTTTTAATGAGAGATACGCGGCCGGGAAAGAGGGGGGCAGTAATGTGGAGGCCAAGTCGCAGATCATGAATATGTCTTCCACGCTCCATTCGGAGCCCTGCATGAGTAACGCGAATGCGGGAAAGAATGGCACCACCGGGAAGGATGACAATACTAGCTTGAGTGGCGGTAACAACTTCGGCGTCACGATTGCTGAGGAACGGGAAAGCGCACTGAACAGTTGCCACGTGCACAGAGTCAACGTAGAAAAGAACCTCGACGTAGGATACAAATACAAAAATATATACATAAAAATAATTGACCTCAAGTTGTACGAGTTTATCTCGGATTATGTGAATTACATAAGGGAAAACAGCAGCTACTATTACCTGATACCGTACTTATTTGTGTACAAATTCAGGGGTCTGTGCTTCCTGTGCATCCCCGTATGCAGCAACTTCTATTTGATTTTCCACCTTCTCTTTCTCCATCTGCTCAATTGCTCCGATTTTTTTAACTACAAAATAAGCTTCAGCAGAGGTACCAATGAGGAGGAGCTTTCCAAAGGGAACTACATCCACCACAGTAGTAACAATTTTTTGTATATTAATAACATAATAAGGATATTAAATGTCCACAAGAGTAACAAAGCGTATATGAAGTACTGCTCCCTGGTGAAGGAGGCACATAGCAGTAATAGTAACAGTAATAGTAATAGCATTTGTCACTACTACAAATGGAAGAAGAATAAAATAATCATCGACATTAGGAACTCTTTTTCGTCTCCGTATTTTATTCGCACGAAAAGTTTTATCAGTTTTATTGAGAGCACAAATTTGCACGTAAGTCTGAAGAAGCTGTACCTGAACAACGATTACATGTTTTCTCTCAAACTGGACAAGAAGAATAAGCCCCCGAACGAGTGCTATTCCAACGCTAATGATATAATTTTTATGTTTAGTCACTATTTTAATATTTACACCTACTTTTATGATGAGAAGAAGAATAACCCAAGTAAGGAGTTGTTTCACCACAACAGGTATATTATCATTCCCTATTTCAAAGATGTGTACATACGGCGTGATAATTTACACATTTATTTGAAGATGCTGGAAGATGAGCACACGACAGAAGACACGTTTAGTAACAAGACCTGCTTGGATGAAAATGAGAGGAGTAGTGGCGAAATGTACGATAAGGTGCAGGGAAACGATAAAGAGTTAAGCAAAGGAGAAGAGGAAAGGAAGGCATATAAATACTCCTTTATTTACAATCTGTATGAAAAGTATGGAGATATTTTTATAAATTATTTTTACCTTGTGTTGAATAAACTACTACTAGAAATAGTCAACGAAATAAAATTAAATAATTTTTTAAGCATCCGAAAGTTTCTACAATTATTAAACAAGTATGAAGTAAATTTTGACATCTTCTTCTGGGTTCTCTATGACAATTATGTAAATATTTACAAAAAATATTGTGCTCATGCGGAATTGGTGAAATTTTTTAATACTAATCGAAGTGAGACCTACGATTTTGATTATTTAAAAAAAATTAAATACAATTATTGCAACAAGAAGAAATTTTATGTTAGAAGAATTTTGCTATTTTCAGTATGTGTGTTGTTGGCCTTTATTTGTAAACGCATATTAGAATTCTTTGTGGGAAATTTGAGCTTCCCGTACGAAAGCGTATTCACTGCCATTTGCCTCTTCTTCTTTTCAAGCAGAAAGCAGAGGGAGCCCAATGATAATTTACACTTGAATCTGCTCAAGTCGATTTATTTTAACTTATTCTTGTCACTCAGTTTTGTCCTACAGTACATTCCACTAACCGTTCAGTACTTAAATTTGTTTAAAATTATAAGGAAGGTTAAAAAGTATAAGATTATTCTTGCCTTTTGTTTAAACTATATTTGCGGAGTAAATTTGCCCTTTTATATCTTCTACGACCTGCAGCATATGCCCCAGAATTTGCTAAACGAGCTTTTCTCTCAAAACAGGGAAGACACGTTGAACTGCTCCTACAGCCACGTTCAATTAAGTAACGTAAAAAATACAAATGAATGTAAAGATGAAACGTTTTATGCTGAAAAGGGAAACTTAAAAGCGAGCGAAAAGGAACACCTCGAATGGGTGGATGAAAATGGCGATTATAACATTCCCGACGATTCGTTACCTTTCTGCAAAAACAAGAAGATGAATAAGAGAATTTTAAAGCGTTATCGTTACAAGGGTCAGAAGAGACGAAGCCGGAATCTTGTGCATCTAATGATTAAAATGCATTTGAATGCCGGTCCACGGACATTTACATTTCATGATTTTACCCAAGCGTCGGACAATATTCTCACGTACTTCTCCAATAGGAACATTCACCATTTGAAGCAAGGCAGGACCTCCCATGATGATTTGTTCGCCCTCATATATTCTCACTTTCTTAACTTTCCGTTCCCATTCTGTCACAGGGGAAATTTCGGGTTAAGCGAACTTCAAACTGGACCACTTCAAACTGGACGAAGTGTAAATTATTCGAATGGCGAAATGGGGGACACAGAACTGGTAGCGACAAGTGAATTATTAAATGTCACTAAAAAAGCGTCATCCTTTTGTGAAAATCAAAGGGACTATTTAAAAGAGGCAGGTGTGGCGCTACACCGTTGTAACATGTTCAGCCAGGGTGCCGATTTTCCATTCTTTGGGGTGGATAAATTAATGGAAGAAAACATTTTCCACGTCCTTCTGAACATAACCGAAACGCATTATTCTCACCTACTGATCATTCTACCGATATTTATGAAGGAGAACTTTAACCTCCTAACGTACGATCTGAAAGTGTACCTAATAAATATATTTTTTTACATATTCATTAGAACGGATAAGTACAAAATATGCGACATGAATAATAAAAAAAGACAATTCACCAGAGCGGGTAAGAATGGGCCTGTCAGACGGAAGAAAAATGACATGTTCCGCGTTAGCCGCAGGAACGATATGTCAGGCGAGACGAGCGCAAAGGATTTTTTCCTCACCAACTCATTGGATTATTCCACAAGGAACTACTTAGAAATAATAAGAAGAGAAGGAAGGTACGCCCCAAGTGATATCCCCAATATAGATAAGTACCGATATGGATGTAGAAAGGAAGCCGAAACGGGGAATGACGAAACGGAGTACGAAACTGAAAATAAAAGGGAGACAGAAAATGAAGCAGAAACGGAAACCGAAACGGATAGCGACGTGGACGGAGTGAACAAATATGCAAAGGAACATGCAATTTTTGAAAGGGAGGAAGGTTCGATCGGTAATATGAAGGAAAAGGTTAAAATGATTCTGCTAGATAATGATTACAACGTGTACTTAATAGAATTTTTCTTTAAAATTGTCTTGAGGATAATTCCATTTTTTAAACAGAAGAAGAAAAATAAAAACCCAAGCTCAGCGAAATCGACTATTATTTACAACGTTAAGATAATACTAAATTTTTTTAGATCATTTCAGAACATCATTTTATCGATGAGAAATAATTTTTATGTATTTATTTACTACTTTTTCATAAAAGGTTATATATCACTTATTTTGTTGAACACGCATAGAGCGCTGAAATGTTTTAAGAAAGTTTTTGTCCTCGTCGTATTCTTTTTTGGAAACCCCATAAACTCCCTAAACAGTCACCCATTCTTAGTATACGTTACGTACATTTTGTATGTGCTAACAGTTCTATCCAAGCTGAACGTGGTAAATTTTCATGAACAGGTAACGCAAGAGGGAAAGAGAATTATTAGAGATGACGCGGATGAAAAGAGTCCCACGGATCAGAGTGATAGCATCAACAATGAGGAGAAGTCAGGTAGTCACCCACAAGAGAAGAACGAAGGAGCGGAGCAGAACGAAGAAATGGGGGAAGAAAGCATGCCATTGGGGGAAGACAATGCTGCGGCCACCAACGCGTGGCTGAAACAAAAATATGAAGTATGGATGTACCTGGAAATAATTCGCACCATTAAGAGAAATTACGTAAAATTTAACAACAACATATATTTAGTTCCTTTGAATTATTTATTTATAAACATGAAAAAACTTTTTAAGAAATATTCGGACGAATTAAAAAGGGTTCACAAACTTCAAAAAACGGATGATAAGGATGAAATGGACAAAAAGTTAAAAAGAAAAAAGACAAGTTTACCGAAGAAAGAAAAGCTTGAGGATAACTCCATATTAAAAGAAATCAATCTAGGAGACAGACTGGAAGATAAGAGCTTGCTTATAAACATTAATAACAGCTTTGTGTCATTATACCCGACAGTTAAAAATGTGAGAGTTCCGAAGGTCTACCTGAAGGGAGGAAGCATTGATAAGTCATTCCCATCGACTGCAGATTTTGTTAAAAGGACAAATGTGTCTGAGGAGAACGTGGGCACTGATGAGAAAAATAGGAAAAAAAAAGAAATCCAAGATGTTGACGAATCGAAGGATGTGAAACGTGATCACAAGGGAGGTGAAAAAGGAATGGAAGCAGATGTGGCACCAAATGTTGCACAGAACGTAGCATCAGACGTGGAACAGACTGTGGAACAAACTGTGGAAGAAGAGCCAAATGTAAGGAAAAAGAAGGAAAAGAAAAATACGCACATGAAGGCGAGTGATTTGCCAAGAGATGGTTTGCCCCCGGAGAAGGAAGAGAACGTGAAGGACAAATGCGCGAAATCGCTTTGTTACGCCCGCGTTGACAAAAAGGATACTAGCAACCTCTTATTGTACAACCTAATTTATATCAACAAAATGAACAGAAAGTTGAACAAGTGCAAATTTGTTTCCTTTAATTTTAAGTACGACCATTATAAAAAAGTAATATCAGATTATAGGAAGTATTACAAAATAATATTAGAAACTTTTAAGAGGAAATTGTGCGAATATTACTATGCGTTCACTTTTGGAAATAACGAGAATGGAAGCCTTGCTATTGGAACCCCGTCCTACCTAAAGTTGTCTCCAACTATTGGTTCCATGGGATATGATAAAAACAAGAAAAGCGTAAAGAAGGGCACAGATTTCTGGTTTACCAATAATTTGCAGCTAATACCAATTAAAGTAAAAAAAATGTGCATGAATGAAGGTATGATTTCGATAATTGACAAGAAGCATAACCTATACATTGGTGGTAATAACACTTTTTTTGAAACTAGAAATGAATTAAATTTTAAAGAGAAAAATACGAAATTAAAAAATAACGAAAGAAGGAAGCTAAAAAATAATCCAATAGGAAGTAATGAAAAAATAGAAATTGACAAATTCTTTACAAATTTAAGATTAAAAAAGATGAAAAAACAAGAAAAGAATTTTCTCGACTATAATAGTTCCTCAGACGACAGTGACATTTTACTGTTTGGAAATTCATCCAGATATAATGAAATTACAAACTTCCTAAAGCCGATGTTTCATTGTGAGAAATTAATTGATTGTTACAAAAGTGTGGATCATAAAAATAGGAGCCTATGCAACTGTAGCATCTGTTGCGCGCCGTTAAATGTTATATCAGATAAGTTCAGCTCTTGCGAAAGTGACGTCTGCTCTTCGTTTGATAGTGAAGATAGTGACGTCACGTATATTAAAGTCACCGATGCAGATGAAATAAACAAAAATATGAATATAAATATGCTGCTTAACAGTCATACAGATAAATCCTTTTATGTGAAAAGAAGAAATTATTATTTAAAAAAATTTTCCATAGACAATTTTAACATTTATAACTCAATACTGTATTCATCGTCTTATGCAAATCAGTATTTAGCGTATGTTCTGCCCGACCAGAAAAGTTCCACGAAATTAGTGAAGAGATTTTTTAGACAAATTTCTAATGAATATTATGGCGAAAGGGTTAGCAATAATTTAAAATATCATCTAAATGAAA